TGATAAGACCATTCTTGATCTAATGTCATCCATCAGAAGAGCCTTCATCTTTCAGTAATGAGCCTGCCTTAGTATCTCCACCATGCTCAGTTATTAGCTGGAAGCAGCCTGTGAAAAATATGGATTTAGCACTAACATAAGGACAGATTTCAAGCACAACAACTGGGACTTCCATCAATTACATATATTACTATTGGTGATCGTAGAGGTGTGTTCTCATGGCTACTACATTCCTCCATTCGCTGGTCATAAGGGACATCCACATGTGGCATGTGTCAATATGAGTTGAGTGTGAAGTACCAGTGTATCAGTAGGGGATGACACAGGGGTCTGGGCCACCTGCTCACGCACCTCATTTGTGTCTTCACATCTTACCTGTGTCTGATCCCAGATGTACCGCTCACTTTTGTCTTATGGTGGATTGGTGGTGGGCCCACCCGACCTCATGACATGAGAGCTATATTAGTTTCCTATTGCTACAGTAACAAATTAGGGTCTTCAAACAACACAAATTTATTATCTTAGCTTCCTGTAGTTTAGAAATTAAAAGTGGGTCTCAATGGGCTGAAATCAAGGTGTCAGCCACCATTGTGTTCTTCTCATGAGGTTCTGAGGGGGCAAATCTGCCTCTTTGCTCTTTCCAGTTCATAGAGGCCATCCTCATTCCTTGGCTTGTGGCCCCTGCTTTTATCTTCAAAGCCAGCAAAGGCAGATTGAGTCCTTTTTGCAGTGAATTACCCTGACCACTTCTTAAGCCAAATCTTCTTCTGCCTCACTTTCTGTCACCCTCTCCACTTTTGAGGATCTTTGAAAAATCACTGGGTTTACCAGATAATCTAACATAATCACCCCATCTCAAAATACTGAACTATATGTGTGAAGTCATTTTTACCATGTAAGGCTCACAGGTTCTAGGGACTAGGACATGGACATTTTAGGGGGGGCCATCATTCTGCCTACCAGAGTGCGTATGACAGCACACAGGTCATGATGCGTGAGACTGAGGCATTCCATTTATACCAGGGCCCAGTAGTATGTCAGGAACTATTTTCTTTTGAAAAGTGTGTAATTCTCCTTTGCAGATGTCATGGCCATGCTGTAGGGGTCTATGTTCTGATCCTTCTGTTGGGACAGGCCAAAACCTCTAAAGGGCATCTTTTCCCACCACGGATGCCCCTATTCCTTTATAAGGTCTCACAGGCCATGTGGCCCAGGTGGCAGGGCTTCTTACACCCCAGCCTGAAACGTTCTGCTCAGAGCTTCTCAGCCACAAAGATGATAGTCTTTCATGTTACCTGAGAAATGGGTTGAAATAGTTATTTCCAAGTGAGGTATATCCAGAACCTGAGACTTACCAGGAATTATGCTCCTTTCTTTATCAGGAGAAGTGTAAAATGTGTGCTTTATTTGGGAGGGAATTTCCCAGCCTATCCCAGATCACTAGACCTTTAAAATTTCCCTACTATGACTCAGAGTTACCTGAGCACATTGCCATAAGTTTCTTTGGAAAGGGATAGAAGAAGTCATGGTCATATATCTTTTCTATGCCATTGCAGGGTCTTTCCCTGTGGGGACTCAACTCTCCACTTCAGGCAAGAGATTCTGCAGCTGAGAACTGGTCTACATCTGGAAACTAGGCAATGGATTGTGACTCTTGATTGGAATAGCTGCCCTTAGCTTCTCTCATATTCATCTTTGATTTATTTTGATTGTAATGATTGAGCAATACTTTTGTTGACTGCCATTTCATTTATCTTGCTCCTGAGAACTCTATGTTCTCTTAACTAACTCTATAGATTTCCGTGGGTCATGTCCTTCTGGCTGCCACCCTGACCTTGCTGTTCATTAAAATAATTGGGCCCAACTTGTCAAGGGTGGTTAAACACTGCCACCTGGCTTCTATTGTATAACCATTCCATCACCCCCATTGTTATTGGGGAGCTCAGCTCTGTAATGTCATCTCTTACTGTCAGCTCTCAGGATCTACTTCCACTTCATACCCTTTTTTAAAAAAACTTATTTTAATGTTTATCTACTTTTGAAAAAGTGTGAGGAGAGAGGGGAAGAGAGAGGGAGACACAGAATCCAAAGTAGGCTCCAGGCTCTGAGCTGTCAGCACAGAGCCCAATGTGGGGCTTGAAACCATGAGACATGAAGTGATGACCTGGGCTAAAGTCGGACATTTAACTGACTGAGCCACCCAGGTGCCCCCTCTCATACCCTCTTAACTAGTAGCTAGGGTTAAGTCATGACATAATCCAGCTTTGGAAGTGCTGAGTGTGTTAAGAAAGGAAAGGGACTATACCCTAGAGAGGTGTACTCGCCCATGACACAGCATTTGCCATTTCAGTTAGGTCCTTGGAAGGTGGTGCTAATTGCTGATAGAACGGTTTTTTGAAAGCTTGGAGAAAACAATGGCCTGCATTTAGTGAACTAGTAATGTCAGGGCTATTATGGCAGATGGTGAAAGAAAAGATTAAAAAAAAAAATCCCTGAACAAGATGTGCCAGGTTAGAAAACCCACCATACTCCCCTGTTGGGCTCAGAGCACCTTCGAAAATAATAAGGAATATGCTAGCAAAACGGTGGCTTTTTCACAGAGTAGCTTTTTAATAGTTTTTTTCCCTGATTAATTAAGAGTTATTTTTTGTGAATAAATAACCTAGAAAGACATAAAATTGGGGAGAAAAACACTGAGATTTCATCCCCTTTAGTAAACATCATTAACATTTTGGTGATCATCCTTTCACATGTTTCTCTGTATATTTATATACACCCTTGTGACTACAGAGACCCTTATTTTTTGAGAGAGAGAGAGAGTGTATGAGTGAGTGAGAGGGACAGGTGCAGAGAGAGAGAATCTTAGTCAGTCTCCATGCTCAACATGGAGCTCAACACGGGGCTCAGACTCAACCCAATGACCCTGGGATCATGACCCAAGTCGAAATCAAGAGTGGGATGCTCAACTGGCTGAGCCACCCAGGTACCTGTCTTTTAAAAAACAATCTTTTTTCCTCTCCCCACTTCCCTCACCTACCCGACCCTTCAATTGCCATTCTTCAACACCCAAATCAATGTTAACTCTGTGCTATTTCTTCGTTCATCAGTTTTCTCCTGCTTTTGACACAGGTAATTTTCCTTTTTCTAATTTATTTATTTTTCACAAAAATGGGATAATATTTTATAGACTTCTCCACATCTTGCTTCTCTCTCTTAGTACATCATGTAAATCCCCCTAAGGTAAATCTAACCCCTTCTTTATAATGGTTACGAAACATTCTACAATGTACAGACACCACCAGCATTCAACAGTTCTCTTACTGACAAGCCTTCACGTGGTTTCTGTTACTGACAAGCCTTCATGTGGTTTCCGGTTTTTGTTACTATGAATGATCCTGCAGTACCTGCCCTTGAACGTATTTCCTTAAGCACTGGTTGAATAGTTTAATGCTAAAACTGTACCAGGGACTGACACAAAATTTCCTAGTCTACTTATTTCTGTGAGCCAGTCTTTCCTGCTTCTGAAAACCAAGTCTCCATAGGCTTATTTCCAGAATTTAAAATCTTTCAATCAGGCTTTCTAAAATAAAACCATCTTCCACCCTGCTATCAAAATTTTTCTTATGAATCACAAGTCAAGTGATGTCTTTTCCTAATTCTTAATTGCCTACAACATAAAGACCGGGTTTCTCAGCATGTGTTCAAAATTTTCTCTAGAGAAGGACTAAAATAAGTTTTCAAACTCATTTCTATTTCGCTACTATCCTATCCTACACTTGGAAACAATGAACAGCTTGCTATTTCCCCAACTGTGCGCTTTTGTCTCCTGCCATAGTGCCTTTCCATACTCTAACTTACCCAGTTATCACTTCCATGAAGCCTTTGCTAATAATGACAAGCAGAAGTTGTCATAATCTCTTTTGTATTTCCAGAGCTCTTGTTACATGTTTTTTTCTTAATTTCATAGAATAGTACAAATTATTTCTCAAACCTTTTGTACTAGTTTATATTTTCACCAGTAGTGGGAATGATTTCCTAAAGCTCCTCCACCTTGCTAACACTGGATGCTGTCTGACTTTAAAATTTTTCCCATTGAGTGGTTGTGAAATGGAATCTTCTTACAACTTATTGTAAATATCTTGTTTCTTCATCTTTTTTCTCTTTATGATGTATTTTTAGCCATCATTTTCTTCTAGGTTTGTGCTTTATTGTGTGGTAAGAGCTCTTGCTCAATGTCTATGAAATAAAAATGTGTATACCCCCAAGAAATAGCAATTCACTTGTAGACAAATTCCAGCCCATATAGATTCTTCAGCACAGAGGATAACCATGAATGTACAATGTTGAGTGAAAAAAATAAGATACAGAAGGTTACATATAGCATGCCATTTTTATAGGGTTACATTAAGCAAATCTAAGGATGTTTTAAGAATCTACACATTCAAGAATTCATCATGTGTTTAAGAATCCATACTATAGAGAAAAAGCAAGGGAATGAGCAAAGTGAAAAGTAAGGGTAGTGGATACCTTTGAGGATGTGGTAGGGAAGCAGAGTGGGGAGGAACCCACAAGAAGCTTCAAGGACACCAATAACGTTGGATTTCTTAAGTGACATAATGGGTTCCCAGGCATTCATTTTATTATGTAATAAGCTAGAGTTAGCATAAATATACCGTATGCATCAAATATTAAATTTTTAAAATTAAAACTCATGCACATACACACACACACACACACACACACACACACGAGAAGAAAGAAGCAGGTACTCTGCAGACTGAGTCCCATTCAAGAGAACTATTGATTTAGCAGTTGCTTTGGAGCAGAAAGAATGAGACAGTGTATGTTCTCTTTTTAACACTGAGTCTGTAACAAGATCCTCTTTTCTTTTAATATTTAGAATTTTTTTTCGTTTTTACAATTACCTAGAGGATTATTTAAAAATAAATCTCATTTTAATTTTTTAATTTAACATCAAAATTCTTTTCATTCTTTTCCAGTGGCCAGGTTTTATCAGCTCTTCCTAGAACCTCCAGGCAAGTTCAGATTGTGCAAAATCTTACTTCAACATATGAGGTAATTTTCCCCTCATTTATCTTTACATCTAAGCCTTGAATAACACTGGTTTGAACTGTGTGGATCCACTTACATACAGATATGTGAGAAAAACAGTACAGTACTGCAAATGTATTTTTCTTATGATTTTCTTAATAGCATTTTATTTTTCCTAGTTTACTTTATTATAAAAATGCAGTATATTCAGGTACCTGGGTGGTTCAGTCACTTAAGGGTAGACACTTGATTTCGGCTCAGGTCATGATCTCATGGTTTGGTTCATGAGAATGAGCCCCACGTTGGGCTCTGTGTTTATAGCATAGTGCCTGCTTGGGATTCTCTCTCTCTCTCTGCCCCTTCCCTGCTTGCACTTTCTCTGTCTCTCAAAATAAATAATAGTTTATTATTATTAAACAGTTTATTATTTAATTAAAATATCTCAAACTTAAAAAATTAAAATACTGTATATAATATGTACAACATATAAAATATGTGTTCATCAACTGTTTATGTTATCAGTAAGCTTCCACTTAACAGTGGGCTATTAGTGGTTAAGTTTGGGGGAGCTCAAAGTTATATGCAGATTTTCAACTGCAGGGGAATAAGTAGCCCTAATCTCCATATTCTTCAAGGATCAACTGTGTATTGGCTTCATTGTGTCTAAATTTTGTGCACCATGTTCTCTCATATGTTGTCTGACTTATGGCTGGCATAAACCTCTCTTCTTACAGCTTTCTCCCACTTCCCATAATCATAATGATTTTGCTGGTTGCTAAAATCAAAAACTTTTTCATTTGTGCTATTGGCTTTTCAGACAATTTCATCATAATAGTCCATTGGGAGTGAAAGTGTATACTTACAAAAATGTTATGATAACAGAAGTCCAAGAGAACTTTGCTTATAAAACAACGGTTCTTAAAAGGAGTAGGCAGCAGAACTACAAAGGAACACTTAAAAAAATTTTTTTAACATGTATTTATTTTTGAGAGAGAGAAAGACAGAGTGTGAGCAGGGGAGGGGCAGAGAGAGACAAACACAAACAGAATCCGAAGCAGGCTCCAGGCTCTGAGCTGTCAGCACAGAGCCCGAAGCGGGGCTTGAACTTGTGAACCATGAGATCATGATCTGAGCCAAAGTTGGACGTTTAGCCAACCGAGCCACCCAGGCGCCCCTAGAAGGGAACATTCATTAAAATCTTCATGCCTGGGATCCATCTCCCCAGAATGCCTCAGGTGTAGAAAGCTGACAAGAGTTACAAAATGTCACGGCAGAAAATTGATGGCCCCATGTTTGTCAGGGAAGGTTCTCCAAGAAGCAGACATCAAAACCAGATTAAAGATGCCAGAGACATACTAAGGGGAATGCTTGTGAATGACCAAGAGGAGGAAGCCAGAGATAGCAGAGGGCACTTTCAGACTATGATGCAGCTCTGATACTTGTGCAGAAATGAAGACCCTCTGGACTACAGGGCAGTTCTGATGAAGGTCTGGCTAGATCAGTGGTCAGTCCTTAAGCCAAGGCCACCTGGAAGATGAAACGCATATCTCGCAGGAATGGTCCTGCAAGAATTTGCCCTCAGTGCTCAGTCCGTGGCTGCCTGCAGCCCCAGGGCAGCACGGCACCAGGCTTGGGTGGATCAAGAGGGGCAGTGGCTGGGAAGGTCATTCAACTATGCTCCTCTCAACAGAAGAACCGAGTGGTACGTTTTCATGGCCACCACACCATGGACAGAGGACATACCTCCAGAGGAAGCCTCAGAAATTTAGAATTTTAGTTCTTAACCTGCCACTTCCTACGTGTATGATTTTAGACAAGCTGGCTGTGAGCCTTAATTTCTTCATTATTTCCACAATGGAAATAGTAACATCCATCTTGCCTGTATCAAAGTATAATTATAATGGTCAAAGGAAATGGGTAAGAACATGCTTGAAAAAAGTGCAGTTAAATTAAAAAAAATGTCAATACTATTAAAAGTCATTGCCCAAAGCCCATAATTAGTTTTAAAAAAAGGAGTATCGATCTGATAACAATATCAAAAACATGGAATTTTTACTAAAGAAAATTCGCACTTATCAACAAACTAGAACTTTCTTTCTAGACAGAATTTCATTTCTCCTTTAAACATCTGACATACACATCCAGCTTTAGAGTGGGGTCATAAGTATATTCATTCACTCATTCATTCTTTTCATTCTTGTCTCACCAAATATTTATTGAGTGCCTTGTATGTTCCAGGGCCTTTCTAGCAGCTGGGGTCACAGAGAAGATTAAGACAAGCTCCCTGCAAAATAAATGTTTACACTGCCACATGTGTGAATAGGGACCAGCGGCTAGCAAATGTCTGTTTCGTTTCTCCTATCGACACACGTTTATGGCTTTAGCACAGATGAGAAAGATGTGAACAACTGTTTTTATTTTTATCAATTTTCCCTCTTGAAAAATGCAGATTGTTCTCTGGCAGCCAGTAACAGCTGAATTTATTGAGAAGAAGAAAGAAGTCCATTTTTTTGTGAACGCCTCTGATGTAAACAACGTGAAAGCACATTTACATGACCATGCAATTCCGTTCAGGTAGGCATCATTCAGTATTCATTGAGTCGCCATTATAAGCACCTATGATGCATTTTACTGGTAGGCAGTATAATTGCTTTGTGGAAAAACAAATACTTGCACTGAACATGGCAACATGGAAATGTCTGAAGTGGACCTGTGATGAAGTTCAAGTGGCCAGCTCTGCGACCTGGGACAAGTGGTTTAACCTCTCATGACATTTTCTTACCAGAAAATGGCTCTGACTCAGTGATCTGGGGGAACCTCTTAGGGTTCTTCCTTGTTCCTTCCTTTTTGTACTTCCTCTGCTCTGTGCCTAGACCTGGGGAGCAAAGTTGTCATTCACTTTAGCAGGTTTTGTGGTATCTCTTGAAAAAGCAGCTGCTGAAGGGGGCTTCTACTTCTTTCCTTGCTTCACAAGGTCAGTGAACATTCCTGAATGTCTGGCCTCAAACTAAGCATTGTATCAGAGGCAATTTCTGTTCGGACACCGTGCCCACTTCCTCTTGGATACTCCTGTGTATCCCGTGTTCCATACTGTGTCTGCCGTTCAAGAGCCAGTTTTCCACCTGCTACCCTAGCACTTCCTGGAGACCATGCTCTCTTCCGCTTATCAATAGGCAGCCTTTGGATAATACACTATGATGATTACTAATAATATGTTATGGGTGTTTACTGCCTTCCAGGAACTGTGCTGAGCCTTTCTCCACACTGCTTCATTTAATTCTTATTTACCTCTGTGAGATAGATACTATCCTCATTATGCAGATATGAAGAAAATGTTTCATATGCACAAAGGAATTTCTCGAGATCATGGCACATAGAACATAACAAAGCTAAGAGTTGAGCTCAGACTTTTCTGATGTCAAAGCCTTGGTTTTTATCCGCTGATCTTAAAAAAAAAAAAAAAAAACGGAAAAATAACACTAAAATGAGAGCTAACTTTCAAACTATTCATCCCAGGTGATGAAATAGCTCAATTGGCCTAGTTAACAGTGTGGCACTGCTCAAGAGAATTAAACAAGATGCCTTTCTAGTACCTTCTCTTTCCCTGTGCTTCTATTTCTCTAGAGATTTGGTCATCTTTGGCTATGCCGAACATCTGGTGTAGGTCAATGGTTGTCATGATGGAAAACAAAAAGAAAAGACTTTCTACTTCTCCTTGGTCCTTAACTGAAACCAGAATAATACAATGTTAGTCTGGATTTAAGAAAGTTGTCCATTAACCTTAAAGACACTGATGAATCACAACCAAGGAATGTTGACAATGGTGGGGAAAGGGTGAGTTTGAGGAGCCCTTCAAAACATACCACATGGGAGCCACTTTCTCTCAGCACTCACGTGGGTTCCACCAAGAAAGTTTGTGAGTTTCAGCTTACTATAATGTTAGCGGTTATTGTTTGCACCTTGATGAAATTTCCCTGTTAAATTTCTCAGTGATTCTTTTCCCCATGCTCACCTGTTGTTGTAGCCGCAGTGAGCCATGGGAAAAATCAGACTCCTGTTTGGAAATCAGCTTTTCCTCTGTTTCATCCCTTAGCATCCTGGTGGAAGAAGTGGAAGATCTTATTCAACAGCAGACTGCCAATGACACAGTCAGCCCCCGAACCTCTTCCTCATACTATGAACAGTATCACTCACTAAATGAAGTAAGCCATTAAATTTATCTCCAAAATTAGTATTTTAATTTAATTGGCATTGCCATTTCAACCATGGGATATTACTGAAGAACATAATTAGTGGAAGAGGGTAAAAAAAATTACTATTAGGTTGATTATATGGTGGTAACCTAGCCTCATGTAGATATCTTCCCTGGGGAGATTGCATTAGATTTAGTAAACTGCCTGAAAGCTGAGAGTATTTCTAACTGTTAGGAGTAACACTACATGCTAAGGAACAACAGGAAATAAAATTAGGGCCTTTTTATTGAAACTGCCACAAAAAATTAAGTCTAATTAATCATGTGTCTTTGGACCATTACCCTGATTGTATTCTTACTGAATAATTGCTACTTTTTATCTGATTGAATTTATTCACTTATATTTAGTACATGGTAAATACGTGCATTTTATTCCCCTTAGGAGGAATCTATTTAAATGAATAACATTAATAATAATAAGAATACCGCTTGTGTTTTAATCTTCAAGAAGTTGATTTATGGGGTGCCTGGGTGGCTCAGTCGGTTGGGCATCTGGTTTGGCTCAGGTCATGATCTCACCGTTCGTGGGTTTGAGCCCCGTGGCGGGCTCTGTGCTGGCAGCTCAGAGCCTGGAGCCTGCTTTGGATTCTGTGTCTTCCTCTCTCTCTCTCAAAAAAATTAAAAATTAAAAAAAGAAGTTGATTTTTTTTCCTATCAGTACTTATAGGTTCCCATTTGTCTATAGGGAACCTGAGAAAGATGCTGGTGTTCAGTTGACCAGAGTAAACGTTCATGTAATACTCTCAGAATCATTTCCCCATACTTGCTAATTGAAAGGGTAAACTCCTTGGATGAGTTTCTCTTTTATATAGTATGCTCCAAGTAATAAAAATCCCTTGATACCTTTTATTCTTTCATTGCAGTATGCTGCTATATTGCCTAATGTTAAGTATTTTTATCATCTTTGGCTAGGTGCCCAGAAACTGTTAAAGACCATATCCATGTTTTTAAGACATCTAAGGCTTAAGAAATAAGAATCAATTTTCTATTTAATCTTCAAAAGCATCTGTTCCTTTCCAGTTAGTTAAACCAGAACTCAGTTGGCTTCTAGAATCAATGTGCCTGGCTGATTGATGGGGATCTTAAAATTGCATCTCCCTCCTTTATCTCTCATCCCTTGTCTCTATTCCCTAGAGACCTCTTCCCTTCTGTGTCCAGCATCAGCCCTGCGAAAGCAAGCCTGATGCCAGGAGCGGAGAAGCTCAGTAGGCATGATTTGCAACATGAAGGATAGAAACACGTCACTGCAGTGCTGAATTTGGTGGCAAGAGGGGAATGCCTGAAAAAGTATTTTAAAATATTTCTAAAAGTACTTTTTAATGATTTTGTTCAAAAAGATTACTTTATCTTACCTTGTCTCCAGGAGAGAGTGGGCATGACAAGGCAGGGAGGCAGGGGTCGGGGGGTGGGAGGGGTAACTTGGAAATGTATTCTCTCACAGTTCTGGGGGCTGAAAGTGCACGGTCAAGGGTTGGTTTCTCCTGAGGCGTCTCTCCTTGACTGGCAGACAGTTGTCTTCGAAGCGGGTCCTCACGTGCCCTTCTCTCTGTGCGCCAGTCCCTGGTTTCCCTTCACATGTTTATGCCCTAATCTCCACCTCTTCTGAGGACACCGGTCAGGGTGGGGTCAGGGCCGACACCAACAGCCTCCTTTTAAGTTAATTACCTCTTTAATGGCCTTGTCTCCAAAGGTAGTCAAGTTCTTTTTTTTTTTTTTTTAATGTTTTATTTATTTCTAGGAGAGAGAGAGAGAGAGACAGTGTGAGCAGGGGAGGGTCAGAGAGAGAGGGAGTCACAGACTGAAACAGGCTCCAGGCTCTGAGCTGGCAGTCAGCACAGAGCCCGATGCGGGGCTCGAACCCACGAACCGCGAGATCATAACCTAAGTGAAAGTCGGACGCTTAACCGACTAAGCCACCCAGGCGCCCCAAGATAGTCAAGTTCTAAGACCCTGGGGGTTACAGCTTCAGTATATGAATTTTGAGGAGAACACAATTCAGTTCATAACAATGACAATCCAGAAAACATTTCGGACCTCTATTTCTTCCCACCCTCAATCAAAGGAACCGTGGCCATCTTGCCCTCAGGAAATTCCACCAAGTCCTTCCTTCCCCCTCGGCACTGATCTCTCCTTCAGCCCTCATCACAAGGTCACCTGGTGGGCAGGTGGTCAGGAGGCGATTCTTACTAGGATCCACTGTAAGGAGAAAAACAAATGGCCAAAAAATACTTCTTTTTTGAAAAAAATCTTTTAATGCTTATTTTTCAGAGACAGAGAGAGAGACAGAGTGTAAGCTGGGGAGGGACCGAGAGAGAGAGAGAGAAAGAGAGACAGAATCTGAAGCAGGCTCCAGGCTCCGAGCTGTCAGCACAGAGCCCAGAGTGGGTCTCAAATCCACCAACCCTCGAGATCAAGACCTGAGCCAAAGTTGCATGCTTAACCAACTAAGCCATCCAGGCACCCTGGCCAAAAAAACCCTTCTTAAAACAAATGGCAAAAGAAGTTACTCAAAAGATGTTACCTTCATTACCGCAGATTAAATTGTGAAATGAACAAAGTTTTCTGTAAGACTGCCTTTATACAACAGCCTCCCTGGTTGGAGGAAATGTACCAAACCATTAATACGGTAACACAAAGTAGTTGCGTGTAGCAGTTCCTAAGGTGTACTCATGCCTTCGAAGAGTAGCACAGTAAACGGGGGCCCAGTGAGGAAATCTCTGACGGTTAGATGCCCAACACTGCAGGCACAGACAGCATTGGTATTTGGTGACAGGTGGGCCTTCGGAGAGCTTCTTAATCTCCAGCACAGGACAAACACTCCCCCTGGTTCTGCTGCTCTGAAAGGACCTATAGTGCTCCGGTTCCCATCAACTAGGATCCTAGCTTGAAATTACCTCTAGATAAGGTCCCAGAAATAAGGCCTAGGGTTGGGCACTCCCATTTCAAAAGGTATAAAAGCACAAGTATGGCCCCTGAGAAGCTGGTCTGCATTAACACATGACCGAGTTCCATCATTGAAAGCCTGCTTTGAAGTGGACACTAGCCTAAAGTCAGGTCCAGGAGTTTTTGATTCTTCCTTCCACTGCAATCTTTTTTATTTTTTTTAATTTTTTAAATTTTTTTATTTATTTCTAGGAGAGAGAGAGAGACAGCGTGAGCAGGGGAGGGTCAGAGAGAGAGGGAATCACAGACTGAAACAGGCTCCAGGCTCTGAGCTGGCAGTCAGCACAGAGCCCGACGCGGGGCTCGAACCCACGAACCGAGAGATCATGACCTAAGCGAAAGTCGGATGCTTAACTGACTAAGCCACCCAGGCGCCCCTCCTTATTCAAAGGTTTTAAAGGGATCCCCTTGCCTTGATGAAATTGTCTGCTTCCTTGAGGCCAGGAAAAGGCTGTGAACTTGTTCTCCGACTGACTGCTGGTTTCTGCTTTGACAGATCTATTCTTGGATGGAAGTTATAACTGAGAACTATCCCGAAATGGTTGAAAAAATCCACATTGGATCCTCATATGAGAAGTACCCACTTTATGTTTTAAAGGTACGCTGTGGGGACAGTCGCTGATCTCTCAACTTTGGAGAATGTGTTACTTCTCCAACAGTGCTTGTTCTGACTTGCATATTTTTCTTTGAGCTATGGAAATATTTGTATTACGGGTATTCCTCGGTCTTAATATACAGCTGTTTTGGGATTAGTTGCTACCTTTCCATTTTAAAAATATTTTTTTAACATTTATTCGTTTTTGAGAGACACAGAGCATGAGTGGGGGGAGGGGTAAAGAGAGAGGGAGATACAGAATCCGAAGCAGGCTCCAGGCTCTGAGCTGTCAGCACAGAGCTAGACACAGGGCTCGAACTCACGAATGGTAAAATCATGATCTGAGCCAAAGTCGGACACTTTACTGATGAGCCATCCAGGCACCCTACCTTTACATTTTTTTCTTTACTACTACAGTGTGGGTGGAAGAGTGAAAAGCCTATTTTTAGAATCCACTCTGTTTATGTGACACACATAAGCCATTTATTTTTTTCTTTTTAAAAAAATATAATTTATTATCAAGTTTGCTAACATGCAGTGTATACAGTGTGCTTTTGGCTTCAGGAGTAGATTCCTGTAATTCATTGCTTACGTACAATACCCCATGCTCATACCAACGAGTGCCCTCCATACTGCCCATCACCCATTTCCCCTGCCTCTCTGGTCCCCCACCACTTCCTGACCTTCAGTAGCTACCTTCATATAATGAGCAAGATGTCTGGATTATTTTTCTCAAGTCTTTTATTTACTTACCACCACTACCACCACCACCTCTGACTACCTTGCTTAGGTGGGAAAGATAGAGAGGAATCTGTTGTGAGACAAACATTGACCCGGATGTAGTTTTTGGAACCAAAGAAAGTGCTTAACAACCAGTCCAAGGGAAAAATAGGAACCAGGGCAATTTTGGGGGCCTTGGCAGTAGGACTAATGTGATAGCTTCTGCTCCAATCACTGTCCATTTGGTTATTTATTTTTAGTTGAATAAATCTGTCTTAGTAAAGGTCATTGACTGTGGCCACAGAAAGAATTTTTGGGAGCCATGAAATCATACTAATCCCTGCCTGTTAATTTCTAATTCCACATTTCTTTTTTTTGTTTGTTTTACCTGTTCCCCCTACCCCTTCCCCAAAATAATTAAATTAATTAATTTTTTTTAAAAAATTAATTAAAATAATTAAAAAGAAGTTCTAGAAAAAAAAATTAAGCATTAGAAAAGTACATTGGATTTAATAACCTTTAATTTACATATAGTTTCCCACCCTTATCTACCTAAAATTGTGAGAGGCAAGCCTCTTCAGTCTAAAGATAAGATTTTGAGTCGAGATTTCTGGGTTTTCATCTATGTTGACAAGAACCTACAGTACAGTACAAGCTCAAGTATGAAACACTGGGTCCTTCCAGCAGCTGAGTTGATCAATCCAGTTGAATCCATGTAATTGCGGTATACTCATCCATGACATTTGCTTTCAGACATGTTGCATATATTCTTTAGAACTTGTGTTTCTGGGTCCTAGATATATGTGTTGGAAGACCATGCTTTCCGCATGCTTCCCATGTGCCTCAGTCCCAGTCTTACTTGACCAAGGGTGTGCACACACTGGAAGTCTCTGGGGTTCCTTCATCTTTCTAGCATCAGGACCGGTACCAAGAGAGTGTGCTTGGCACAGTTAGACAGAAAGTTGAGTCAGGCAACTAGTGGGGGCAACTCACGATTTTCTTTTAAACTGAGTTGATTAAATTAGACAGGAAGTTCGCCTACTTTGTACTGTTTCACTCTTTGCAGACAATGCCATTGGACTTTCTCCCTTGCTTTCTTACTGGAAAGCTCCAGTAAGCGCTCTTACTAGCTCCAGGTTAGTCAAGAACAAGGCCTCTCTGGGGCGCCTGGGTGGCTTAGTCAGTTAAGCGTCCGACTTTCGCTTGGGTCATGATCCTGCGGTTCGTGGGTTCAAGCCCCGTGTCGGGCTCTGTGCTGACTGCCAGCTCAGAGCCTGGAGCCTGTTTCAGTCTGTGACTCCCTCTCTCTCTGACCCTCCTCTGCTCACGCTGTCTCTCTCTCTCTCTCCTAGAAATAAATAAAACATTAAAAAAAAAAAAAAGAACAAGGCCTCTCTGAGTGCTATAGATGGCAATGAAAATGTGACTCTCTCCTTTTCCTGTTTCGGAATTTCAACTCCACATATTTGCTTAATCTTATAACACTCTTCTCCCTCCCTTCCATATCCTAAAATTGCTTGGAGACTACTTTTTAAAAGCAAAAGAGCCATGATTCATTTTGTGTGGAGCTGTTTTTGAGAACACTTCTGAAGACACCAAAGTCTATCACTGGGGACAGATTGGGAGTTCTTGTTTCAGAATTGGCAGCTTTCACTAGCTCCCTATACCATGAATCAGAACAAGGTCTCTGTCCCTCAACCCGATGGTAATAAGTTTGTGTGAACTTACATGTACCCTTCTTTCTGTGTGAAATGGGGAAATGGTCTATACGTAAAAAGTATGTACCCTGAGGAAAATGGTGAGGGAGTCCAAGTTTGTCTTCAGCATGACTGGCTTTCCTTTATCTTTAAAAAAATCTTTTTAGTGTTTGTTTATTTTTAAGAGACAGAGAGAGACAGAGCATGAGTGGGGGAGGGGCAGAGAGAGAGGGAAACAGAGAATCCGAAGCAGGTTCCAGGCTCTGAGCTGTCAGCACAGAGCCCAACACAGGGCTCAAACTCATGAACTGTGAGATCATGACCTAAGCTGAAGTCAAAGTCAGAGGCTTAACTGACTGAGCAACCCAAGCGCCTCACCACTGGCTTCCCTTTTCCCAACCTCTTTGTACTAGTCTCCCACAGAAAGGTGCCCATCTTGCACATACCCCTTTACCCCAAAGAAGTGTCAATGGACAGCCTAAAATACTAGTGCTCTGGTCTTTATTCCTACCCTTCTGCATGCAGCTCTGGAATGACAAGTAATTGTGGAGGGATACAGAGGACTTGAAACCAGAAGTCCTAAGTGAAAACCTCAGTCCTCACTCTCACCAGCTAGGTGACTTCAACCAGCATCTCTTAATGACACCAGCTTTTAATGTCCCATGTCCCCTGAAAATCCTCAAATGAATGGAGAGAATAATGTGTGTTTCATAGATTTGTTGAAAGAATTAGACATGAGCACTATGTATATGGAAGTTATTATCCTGAAGCTTGTTATTATTGTTGTTGGTTTTCCTTGGGCAGCTTTCTAGAAAAGGACAAACAGCCAAAAATGCCATATGGATTGACTGTGGAATCCATGCCAGAGAATGGATCTCTCCTGCTTTCTGCTTGTGGTTCGTAGGCTATGTGAGTATTCCCATTCTCTTACGCTAGGGTTTCTCAATTCGTGACCTAAGATGACATGTGTCAGAATCAACTGGGCTGTTTGTTAAGTGCATTTTACCAGGTCACATCCTAGAATCCTTGCCTTCAGCTCTCTGGTGGTGAGGTTTGGTAAATTACAAATTCCACAAGCTACCCAGGTGACTTTTGTGCATATGAAGTTTGGGAACTGTAGCTTCAAGCATTTAAATCACTCTAAAGATTGTCTACCCTTTTCTTCCCTATATTTCTGGCTAGGGCTAAACTCTGGAAAATAATTAATAAATATTTTGCAATTGTAATATATTTACTAAATAGAAGAAAGAACTAAAGCAATTATCTAAATTGAGTCCCAATCAATTTCTTTCTCTCCTGATTTGAATTATCCAGACATCTTTGCCATATTCTGCCCTTGGAAATTGAACATGAAGTACAACATTACAGAGCAGATCCTATTTTCTCATATGTTACAATGGGAGATTTTGTCCCTGAAGAAGGCCTTGGCAGCAAAAAAAAATCCATATATAAGACAAAGAGTAAGGCATAAAACCAAAAATTATAATGGCTATAAACCTCTATAATAAATGAATACAGTAAGAATTATGCTTCAGCTCCTATAAAATGGGCATAAATGTTCTCTGTATTGATTTATACAAAGAGCCATTACCACTGGAAAAATAACTTAAATTATGTGTCCTTCTGCTAATGGTTATCGTCTCTGTATTCAGAGGAACACAACCACACAAAATAGATTTGTTAAAAAAAAAAAAAATAAAACATAGTCACTTCAATTGATCTGTGTTAACAAATGATGTACATCAAAGGTAAAAATATTTCTGCCTCTGCTGAGTCTTGTCAGATACAACACCTCTACCCATCTTCCTTTGTCTCACCATCTGCTCTTCCTCCTGATGGGAGCTGCAGTCTCCCTGAGCCTTCTGGAAAGTTACCAGCCATTGTTGTAATGCCTTGACCAAATGAGGATAGTTCTCCACTGACTAGAGCTTTAACACAGCTCAGTCATTTGGTGATTCTTCCTTAAGTTGGGCAGTTTTATTCATTTTAGGTAATGAATGAAGCAGTAGTTAGTGGAGGAAGAAATGTGCAAAGCAAGAAGGAAAGCACACTTCTTTTTCATTCCATCGCTGAACTTGGAAAGGACCAGAAAGAAACTCTAATTCATATTGGTAAAGTCTTCCCTACTTGTCATCCCTCCCACATTGACACCTCTTGTCTCCTATTACACATGTTCTCCTCTACCCCACCCACTTGCTGAATTCTTGTAAGATTAAATTACTTATTCCACAAATATTTGTAAACTTCCTATGGGTTTCCAGACTCTGGAAATACCATGGGAAACAAGATATGGCTCAAAAACCTTAAGGTCAAGTATTTTGTCCCAACAACTTGAGGCTGATTTTTGTAGCCTAAGGCAATGCAGTTCAATAAGCTCTTCTTACTGCACATTGAAGAAGCACCATCCTTGCCTGCCTAAACTAATCAAGATCATCTCATCTTCATAATGATTCAAACAACTGTAGAAAGAAAAATGAAAGACTTAGCTTAAAGTTTTTATGGGGGTGGATTTTATACTTAAAAAGTAAAGAACCCAAAGATAAAGAAAAGTCTTAGCTTCTAAGTCTTTATAAAGAAAACCTACACCATTCCTGTGTTTCTCCTTTCTCCTTGTACAACTACCACACACACCATGCTTCTGATACCACATACATGTGGACTTTCTCCACCCCAAGCAATTCTGTGACACCAGCGGTGTGTCGTACAATTTACCTCACTTCTGACGGTATCTACCCGGAGACTGAGCCAGATCCCAGAGGGGAAAGGTTAGGTCACTTTCCTCACACTTCAGATGCCAGTTGAAAGTTCAGGCTGTTATCTGTGCTTCTGAATAATCAGCTACAAATCCAAGGTTCCCACAACCTCCTCCTTGGGTTTGCTTAATTTTGCTAAAGTATCTAAGGGAACTCAGAGGAAGAGTGTACTTCTTGCTTACCAGTTTAGTATAAAAGGATAGGATAAAGGCTACAGATGAACGTGTAGGTGGAAGAGACACATAGGATAAGGTATGTGGGAAGGGGCTGGGAGCTTCCCCGCCTCTCCAGATGAACCACTCTCCTAGCACCTCTACATGTTCGCCGACCCACAAGCTCCCTGTACTCCTTATCTTTGGGATTTTTATAGAGACTTCATCTTGTAGGCATGATGGATCCTTAACTCATTCTCTAATCCCTCTCATCTTCCTGAGGATAGAGTTGGGGCTGGAAGCTCCAAGTTCCTAGTCATGGCTTGGTCTTTCTGTTGACCAGCCTCCTGCCAGGAGCCCACCAAGAATCACCTCATTAGAACAAAAGATACTACTATCGCCCAGAAAATTTCAAGGGATTTAAAAGCTCTGTGTCAGGAACCGAGGTCAAGGACCAAATACTAGAACAAAAGATGCCTTTATTGCTCTTATCATTCAGGAAATTCAAGGTCTGTGCCAGGAACCAGAGTGGGTGTGGGGAAGAGACCAATATAGATAGATAGATAGATAGATAGATAGATAGATAGATAGATAGATAGATAGATAGATATAATATCCTCTTGCTCTCTTCTCCAGCTCAATGTGGTGTAGTCTCAGCTTAGGAAACACCCGTTACTCTGCACTTTGGGGAGCCCGAGGCCAGTCATTTCTTTCTAAGCCTCTCATTCATCCTCTAGAGTCCAAGTTTAAATCCCTTCTACTTCTGCAAAGGCAGGGCCAAGGCTGGTTTGGACATGGCAAGCACAGGGCCTGGCACATCACAGCAGCCCAATGAACACGTATTGGGCCTCACACCTTGCTTAGTACTTTGTCTGCCAGCTGGCTTTTCTCAGTGCTAACCTCCCTGTGAACCTCTGCCCTGGAGGACGCTCATGTAGCTGCACACAAAGCTGATGCTCTGCAACCTCACAGCCTCCACAGAGTTCCTTCTGCTGCCCCTCACCTTTGCTGACACATGACTTGTGAAGGACACTGCTTTATAAAAGCTCCATCAAGAAAAGAGTCTGATCTTTCTTTCATATGTTCACGTGCCAAGGGACCAGAGGAGTGGACCAACATTCTCGATCCTACTACAGTTATCCCCTGCTTTCCAAAGGTTCGCATTATGCCATTCACTTTTATGAAAGACCTGCAGTAAGTATGGTAATGGCTTTTTTTCATAAAAGCAAAAAATCTCCTTCAGATTTCTTTCAGTTACCAAAACAGGTACTAATGTAAAAGTATTTGGAAAGTAGGGGATACTCTTCACTTTATCCCATTTCGGCTTTTGCAAAGATTTCATAGTCACCGTCTACTTTCAGACAGCGGGGAAAATCATCTACACTGTTATTGCCCTTTTCCCCAAATTCATAATCTGACAATTCCCTGGAACCTGATTCATGATTCTTTATTCCTCTCTGATTCTTGCCATCATTCTGAGTGAATTCAAAGTCCATATGCAAGATCTAGCTAATGAATAATCTCAGGAACTTGAACTCTACTTCACTAAGCCTAACCTCAACTCTGTATCAGTAAACTTCTCCCATGGCTTTCCTCTAGATCTCAAAAATAATTCTCTCCTTGACTTTTAGATCCAAAATATGGCTGAGGACAGTGACCAGGAAGGGATAGGAGGAGCCACGTAGCAATCTGACTTCTTAATTTCCAATTCTTCTGTTTCTGTCATTCCTTACACCTGCTCACCACCCATTCACCCATATCCTGAATGTCTTGTCCCTTTGATCTGTTCTTCAGGAATTCTAACACAAAACACCCCACAGAATTAACTCTCCTTCTTCTGAACCACCCGTACATCTTGAAATTATTATTGTACTTATAACATTGAATTCTTACTGTTTCCTTTCCAACTTCACAGTTTTATCAGCTTGTTAAAGACAAAGATAATCTCTAAAATCAGTTTTTGTTGTTGTTACAGTATAACTCAGTATATTGTTTGGTCCACAGAATCAGCCTCAACATCTCTTGTTACATTTAAAACTTAAATTAATGCTTCAGCTTTAGGCTGAAATATAACTCTGGGGCCCAGGGAGTACCTACCATTGCAGTAATACTTTATTGCCACTGAAGAAAAACTGGGACTTAAAGCTTTTTGCTGTATTTCTACTGGTATTGGGAGTAACAGTTTATTTTAAAATCTTCCATTCATAGGGACTCCTGGGTGGCTCAGTCAGTTAAGTGTCTGACTCTTGATTTGGGCTCAGGTCATGATCCCAGGATCATGGGATGGAGACCCACATCAGGCTCTGTGCTGAGTGTGGAGTCTGCTTAGGGTTCTCTCTCTTTCCCTCTACCTCTCTCCCCCTACTCATGTGCTCTCTCTCTTTCTAAAATAAAAAAAAATTTAATCTTCCATTTATAGCATTTTATATGCCTTTTTGTACTAATTTATTCTGTCAAGTGGCTATTGGTGAATTTTTGGGGAGTACTATTGTTGTTGTTGTTTGGGACCACAATAAGGACAAAGCTTTGGTGGACCCCAGGGAAAGAGAGGTGAGTAATAATCTCCCAGAGATCAAACTGATAGGAATCAGTCAAGCCTTTGCCTCCCGCCTTCTTGTGCTGTCCTCTGGTACCCTCTTGGTTCTTCTCTTGTTTTTATACTACAACAGTGATTCCGACTATGTTACTTATCTTGTTGGTAAATCATTCCTTTGACAAATATTTATTTATTGTCTTCTGTGTGTCTTTTGTCTTCAGCCACCTTTGTCATTAAGAGTGATTCATTCACTAGATATAAAACCATGACTGTATACATCTTTATAAAATACCATGAAAACTCACTGGAGAGTCCCATGATACACAAATCACAAATTAATAATAAAGAATTATTAGATTAATAAACATGTTCTACTTGGTTGAAAATGTTATTTTAAAATATATCTTTAAAGACAGTTGATAGATTAAGTCAGGTTATAAGGGTTATAGAACTTTAGAGGTTAATTTACCTCAGCGATATGATTATATACCTAGACTATATGATTTTGAAGTGTAAATAACCAGGTAAATGTCAAATCTTAATGAGTATAACATCAGTTAGAAGGTTGAGAACATTTCTTAGATTTCTCTGTATCTATGGAACTCTGCCCTTAATTCACACAATGCCTCGAAAAGAACACAGGTTTGCCCAATTACCAGGTATAACCCAGTCTTACCTTTAGCCCATCAGGAAAATATCCAAAGTCCTGAGAGTGCTAAAACATTACTTAGCTGATCCATTCAGGTCACCTTCCTGTTAGAGTTTACTTCTCTTATGCATAGGCCTTGAGAAGTCCCCTCAATGCAGTTTTCCTCCGTCTTTCCTTTTTCTACACCTCTCCCCCAAGGTCCTGGTTTCATCCTGCTGTTGGTCTTCAGATCACCAATTCCCACTTATTCTGGACCCTCATCTTCTTTAAATGAACCCAAACAAGCTTACTGCTAGTCCAGATGGTGCCTTTGTGAAAGATCAAAATAGGCATCCTTTGCTGGAACAACTAGATATCCACATGCAAAAGAATGAACTTGGACCCCTACCTCATACCAAGTACAAATATTAACTCAAAATGGGTCAGAGACCTAAATTTAAAAGCTAAAATTACAAAATTTTTAGAAGAAAACATAGAAATAGTCAGTCTTTGTAACTTTAGATTAGGCAATTATTTAGTAGATATGACACCAAAAGCATAAACAGCAAAGGATAAAAGAGATAAATAGGGCTTTACCACAATTAAAAACCTTTGTGCTTTTCAAAGAATGTCATCAAGATTGTAAAAAGACAGCCCACAGAACTGAGGGAAAATTTTTCAAATCATATGTATGATAAGGGACTTGTATCCAAAATATGTAAAGAACATTTACAAATAAACAAAGTGACAAATAGCCCAATTTAGAATTGGGCAAAATATATGAAAAGGTAAGTCTCCGGAGAAGGTATACAAATGGCTAGTAAGCACATGAGAAGGTATTCAACATCATCAGTCATTAGGGAAATGCAAATTGCAACCACGATGAGATATCACTTCATATCCACCACGATGGCTAAAGTTTAAAAAGGGAAATAACAAGTGCTGGTAAGGATGTGGAAAAATTAGAAACCTCATTCATTGCTGTTGGGATTGTAAAACAGTGCAGCCACTATTTTACAGTTGGGCAGTTCCTCAAAAGTTTAGGCCTAGAGTTAGCATGTGACTCACCAATTCCACTAGTAGGTATACACCCAAGAGAAATAGACACATTTATTGACAGATGTTCATGCACCATTATTCATAATAGTCAAAAAGTATGCCCATCAACTTATGAGTAGATAAAATAATGTGGAATATCCGTATAATGGAATATCATTCAGCAGTGAAAAGGAAAGAAATACTGACACATCCTACAAAATGGATGAATCTTGCAAACATTGTGCTAAGTGATAGAACCCAGACACAAAAGCCATGTATTTTATGATTCCATTTATATGAAATACCTAGAATGGGTAAATCCACATAGGTAGAAAGTTGATTAGTGATTGTCAGAGAGGGAATATTAGGTTTTGAGAGACGATCCTTATTAGCTCTGGAATTTTTTGTCCAATAAGCAGGACTCCAAACAGAAGGGGTAAGTGAGGGTTTCAATGTGTGTTTCATAGATTTATTGAAAGAATTAAAATTAAAATTTTAACTCCCCAAGTTAAAAGGACAATGTAGAAACTATCTAGTCATGTCTGGGCATAAGACAAAGTTAGTTTAAACTCTGATTGATATTATTGAAAGAGGAATGGAATTATATCTAGGTTAGAATTCTTTTTGTTTCTTGAAGAAGAAAATTTAAGAAAATATATGGTTCTATTTTCTGCCTCCAATAAATAAGACCATTTGTCCCATGTCCAAGGCATTCACCACCATTTGGCAGCATAGAGCCTTAAGTTCAAACTTTTCAAGGAATTAATACTCTTACTGAAATTTAAATATGCAAATCTAAACATACCAAATGACGTCTTAAAAAATAAAACGCATAAAAGAAACAGACTAAGTTTAGAAGGACTTAAAACAGATATTATTAAACATACTTGGTTTAATTTGTAGGTAACTCAATTCTATGGGAAAGAAAACCTGTACACCAGTCTTCTGACACATATGGATTTCTATGTGATGCCAGTAGTTAACGTGGATGGTTATGACTTCACATGGAAAAAGGTAGGTGAAGGCAAAGAAAACAAAACATATCCTTTTTGGGGGTACAGGATGCACAGATTGAATTATTCATAGAGTCCTGGATCTTGGCACAATGGTTTTATTTAAAATATAAATATTTCTAAATTCTTATTATGGAAAAATTTCAAACATATTAGTGGGAATAATTGTATAGTAGATTCCTTTGTACCTATCACACAACTTCATCAATAATCAGCTCATGGCCAATATTTTCTTGTCTATATCCCCAGCCCAATTCTACTTTTTTCATATTATTTTGAAACAAATCTCAGATACCATAATAGCTCTTTTTAAAAAACAGAGTACAATTACACCTAAAAGTTAACAATACTTAATATCAGAAAATGTCCAATCAATATTTAAAGTTGCAATTGTTTCATAACTTTTAAAAAATTTTTCTTTGATTTGGGATTCTATTAAGGCCAATATATTGTGATTGGTTTAGATTTATTTTAATCCATAAATTGTCCCTCCGTCTACCTCTCTCTCTCTTTCTCTTTCTCAAAATTTTCTTTGCAATTTATTAATTGAAGAAAAGGTTTCACATTGTCTGGATTTGCTAATTGCATTGCCATGTTGCAATTTAACATTCCTCTGTCCTCTGCATTTTCTGAAATTTGAAATTTGGATAGTAGGAGATAAAGCAGATTCAGATTTTGACTTTTTTGTCAGGACTATTTCATAGTGATTCTGTGTTCTACATAATGTCTGGTTGTATCTCCTTTCGTGACATTAGCTATCATCAGTGCACAATGCCTAGATCCATCCATTCTTACTAAGAATCATTTGAATAGCCTTTTGATTCATAAAATCATAGATTGCAAGATTGAGAGAAGCATTTTCACTGCCCCTGCATTCTGACAGAAGCACATTCTGACTGATAGGTGAATTTAAACCTTAGGATCCTTTAACTCAATCCTAAGCATCTAAGTATGAGTGAGTTGCCTAGGCAATCTCATCTATACTGAAAACCATTATCAGTGGTATTTCTAGCCCATCAACATTATGATTCAGGAAAATTACTCAAGCAATGGAAGTACAGTCCTTTCTAATTTAATGAGGAGCACATAAAAGCATAATTGAGCATATATAAATTCAGAAAAGGCTCCTTGAGCAGGACATATAAACAGTAAAGGGAATGAGAATAATCAGAGTGATTGGAAACATACAGGATTAAACAAAAATTGTTTCATGGAAGAGAAAGAGGTAATTTTTGCAGAAGAAATGGGTGGGAATGGTGAAGATTGATTGAAAAAATTATCTCAAGTGAGAGGAACACTAAATAAAAGCTTGTAGGGAGGACTGGACAAATCTTGAACTGAATAAGTGAGAAATCCCTAACATAGTACCTAACACAAATTTATGTCCCATAAATGATCACATCCATAGATTAATATTATAATTGACTTATCCCTTAACCTGAATCAGAGTAGGTTCAGCCATCCTCTAGATATTCCTACTCTCTCACTGTCTTTATGTCTTAATACTGCAAATTAGTCTCTGCAGTGTGAGAACCTAATTTCTCCAAGGTGATTCTTGCTACAAAACCAAATGCCAGCGGGTGGAAGTGGACTAGAAAGGTTGGCAATAAAGTTGATGAGAGTGGGGGAAAGGTGCAACATTATCCCAACTTCAGGTTTAAACAAAGTCTGTGCAACTGTGTATGTCATCAAATTTCCCAGTTTGTCCCTAAGAACCCAACGGGGAGATTTGCTTTATGTTTACACATCAGGATCGAATCAGTACAATCAAAGGAACTATCAGGTTAGAGGTATCTTCACATCTCGACCTCTTGACGCTTTTAAAATTTTTTTAATGTTTTTATTTATTTTTGAGAGAGTGATAGAGACAGCATGTACCGGGGAGGGTCAGAGAGAGAGGGAGACACAGAATCCAAAGACAAGCTCCAGGCTCTGAGCGAGCTGTCAGCACAGAGCCTGATGCGGGGCTCGAACCCAGGAACCGTGAGATCATGACCTGAGCCAAATTCAGACGCTTAACTGGCTGAGCCACCCAGGCGCCCCCTCCTGATGCTTTTAAAATGAGAGAGTTGAAGTCAATCTAAAGAGAGCATTGAGGGGTGCCTGGGTGGCTCAGTCAGTTGGGCATCCTACTCTTGATGTGGCCTCAGGTCAAGATCATAACGGTTTGTGGGATTGAGCCCCATGTAGGGCTCCTTACTGACAGTGCAGAGCCTGCTTGGGATTCTCTCTCTCCATCTCTCTCTGCCCTTGCTCATGCACTCTCTCTTTCTCTCTCAACATAAATAAACTTTATTTTAAAAAGGAATATAAATATAAACATATAAAACTAAAAGTGTAAATAGGAAACAATAAAGAGAGCATTGAAACTCATGACATAGGGTTTTAATTTTAGTTGAAACACAAAGTTATTTTACTTTTCTCAGAAAGAATTAAAACTGAAGCAAACAAGACTAAAGAGAACCAATAAGCAGCCTAGCAAAGCCAAATGAAATTTCCATCGGTATAAGTCAAAGTTGATTAAATATTACCATTTCATTTGGTTCAGACTGAAATAGCGTGGAGTGAACATGATTGAGACCTGGATAGAGGGGGGACTGTGAGAACAGAACGCTGTGAAGACAGGGGCGGGGCAGAGTGCTGGCTTTGCAGGACAGACACACACCTCTGGTTACTTAGGCTTTAGAAGTCGTGTCTTTGCTTGAACTGCAAACATGGCCATCTTGGTTATCAGTATTTTGTTTATTTAGAATCGAATGTGGAGAAAGAACCGGTCTTTTCATGAAAATAATCCTTGCATCGGAACGGACCTGAACAGGAATTTTGCTTCCAAACACTGGTGTGGTAGGTTGTTTGCTTTATTTCTAGCAATGTTCATTCATTTAAAAGGGGATAGTCACAAAGCAAGGCCTATTAACTTAAAGTGATTACAGGGGAGGCCTATCTGAGTCCGGAAATAATTCTTTAGTTAAATGCAGTGTGCTGTAAATATGTACAACTTACCTTAACCCCACCATGCTTCCATTTCATCTTTAAAAAAAAGAATTTGGTGGGCACCTGGATGGGTCAGTCGGTTGACTCAGGTCATAGTCTTACATTCATGAGTTCGAGCCCTGCATTGGACTCTGTGCTGACAGAGCCTGCATCAGATTCTGTCTCCCTCTCTCTGCCCCTCCCCAACTTGTGCACATGCATGTGTGTGCATGCTCTCTCTCTCTCTCTCTCTCTCTCTCAAATAAATAAACGTTAAACAAAAGGAACTTGGACCTGTTCTTTAAGGTCCCTTTTAGCTTCAAAATTCTAATACTCTACTTTTCTAAAATAGTAATGAAGTGACTGTTAAAAATCCTACTTTAATGAACAAATAACATTCATCATCAGAGTATCAAAGACCAGGGTAGCTTGCATATCTCTCCTTTTTAATTGCATAGGAAAGTGTTTACTTCCACAGCATTCAACTTATGTCTAGCATAGTGGAGGTTTATCATTTCTTAATTTGAATGAGTCAAAGTACTCAATGGATATTGATTTAGGCTTTCAAGAACATTACCTGAGGGCACCTGGGTGACTCAGCTCGTTGAGTGTCTGACCCCTGATTTCAGCTCAGGGTGTGGGATAGAGCCCCTCGGCAGATGTGGAGCCTACTTGGGTCTCTCTCTCTCTCTCTCTCTCTCTATCTCTCTCTCTCTCAATCTCTCTCTCTCTCTCTCTCGCTCGCTCTCTCCCCTCCCACCCCTCTCCCCTGCTCCCATTCGCTCTTTCTCTAAAAATAATAATAATAATAATAACATTGTCTGTTCTCAGGGAGATAGGTGTTAGGTGTTCTCACACTCCCCTATTGTATTTCATTGTTACTACATTTAAGAAACAGCTACAGAACAAAACTAAACCTGATCATAACCTTGAATCATCTTTATTTTTGGAAGTGGGTACCTGTGGCTCTGTGGGAACCACAAGATACTGAAAGCTATAGAAGCCACACAACCTGTCTTCTGATCACCCCTTTGCCCTACACAATGCTATGTACGTGATTGTACATATTTCCTTTTAAAAAAGAAGAGAAAATTCGTGATGTTGAACATTTCATCATTGTATCAGAGCAGATGTGAAAACCTTACAGTGGAGTCCTCACTTTATTTCCTTATTTCCTCCTTCTCTAGGTGAGAGTCTCAGTGAGGGAAGGGACCACTATGCATTACCTCGTGCAGTGCCCGGTGCACACAGGGTTTGCAGAAATTAATTAAATGAATATAGGAATGAACTGGTTGTTCTGGGAGAGCTACAGAAGTAGTAAGCAAGCGGAGGAAGGAGCCGCTAATTTTCCCTCAGGCTCACCCCTTTTGTGATTCAGGGATCCACTGAGTGGTTTCTCTATGAGAGCCATTCTTAAGATTGTCCCATAAAAGTACCACTGCTGCCCAAAGACTGCCACAGCAGTGATCATTGGGCAGGGGGTCAGAGAGGCAGCAGCGAATATGAATATGTGGTAGATCTGAATAGAGCTGGTAGTTACTAAGCACGAAGATGTTTACATATGCCTCCCCCTGGGTTTCATTATCTGTGTATCCGGGGTGGAGAATCCCAGACTCAGAAGGTCAGATCCCTTGCTTAAGAGCACAGACTTAGGAAGTGGCAGAGCTGGGTTATGAAATCAGGCTGACCGATTCCAAAGTTTTCAAAATTCTTGTATGTCTGAGAATCACTCTTCTGTTACAGGTTCCCTTCTGGAACTTCTTCTTTTATCTTGAAGCTCTTTTGGTGCTCTATTTTACATAACATTTCTTAATGGTGAAGCCAGTGGTACCTAATTTGAATAGCAAAGACATCAAATATATTCTGTTACTGCCTTAGAAGAAATACCATAGGCCACTCTGAGGCAAGGTGCTTCATTATTACCCATCACCAGAGTTAGAAACAGAAACAGAAACAACAAGCAAATAAAAAAAAAAATAATTGTAAGGACTCTTTTTTTTTCCAGTGTTCCAGTATCTCTTAAAATTTTTTTAAAGTGTTTATTTTTGAGAGAGAGAGAGAGAGAGAGAGAAATAGCACAAGTGAGGGAGAGGCAGAAAGAGAGGGAGACACAATCTGAAGCAGGCTCCAGGCTCTGAGCTGTCATCACAGAGCCTGAAGAGGGGGCTCAAACCCAAGAGCCCAGAAATCAGAACCTGAGCTGAAACCAGAAGCTTAACTGAAAACTGGAAGCCACACAGGCAAGCCCCCATCCAGATATCTTTTTAGTAGTATGTAAGCAAGCCAGTGAGAAAGAACTAAATCTCTCTTCCTTGTGCCTGCAACTAGAACATATCTTTATACTTTTTTAAGAATCTAAAAGAGCACCTTACTTTTTAATGAGAAATGACATATCAAGCCTGTTTATTTATTTCATGTTCATTTCCCCTTCCTCTGTATTAAAATTGTGTGTGTAGTGTGTGTGCATGTGCATGTGCGTGTGCGTGTGTGTGTGTGTGTGTGTGTGTGCATGTTGGAGTTGGAATGGGGGTAAGGCTGTCTTAGACTGATCAGGCTGCCACTAACAAAATACCGCAGGCTGATGTCTCCGACAAGATAAATTTATTTCTTGCAGATCTGAAGGCTGTCATCAGGTGTCATCAGGGTAGGTTTGTCCTGAGGCCTCTCTCCTTGGCTTGCAGATGGCTACCTTCTCACTGTGACCTCACATGGCATTTTCCCTTTGGGCACATCTCTGGTGTCTCTCTCTTTCCTTAAAAGGACACCAGCCATATTATTTCAGGGTCCTACCTTCATGACTTCCTTCAACCTTAATTACCTCCTTAAAGGCCTTATTTCCTTTTCTTTTCTTTTTTTTTATTTTTTAAATTAAATTTTATTTTTTTACAAATAGTTTATTGTCAAGTTGGTTTCCATATAACACCCATAACACCCAATGCTCATCCCCACAAGTGCCCTCCTCTATGCCCATCTCCCCCCTCCCACCCACACCCATCAGTCCTCAGTTTGTTCTCAGCATTCAAGAGTCCCTCATGGTTTGTAAAGGCCTTATTTCCAAACATAGTACATTGTGGGTTAGGACTTGAGCACAGGGATTTTGGGGAGACAGAATTCAGTCCATAACAAGTAGTATTTTGTGAGGACTTCAGGTCTCAAACTTCCTAAGATAGATCCACTCATTTTCTAAGATGTTGAGTTAAACTACAAAGTTTTTGTAACCAGCGTACAGTGGCAAATCCTTTATTTCTTTCCAGTGAGACTGTAGTAGTTTTTAATCATTTTATGGTGCTAAAACATAAATAACATAAAATTTGTCATTTTAGCCACTCAGTACACTAAAGCATTAAGTGTATTCATCACCAATACACATTTCCAAAAGTCTTCTTCATCCCAAACAGAAGCTCTGTGACTATTAGGCAATATCTTCTTATTTCCCACTCACTGCAGCCCCTGTAATTTCTACTTTACTCTCTGTTGTGTGAACTTTCCCATACTAGATATCTTTTTATTCCAGCATTCATAGATTAGATCATGTTTGAGCTTGAAGGGACCTAGTAGACCAAGCACTACAAGTGGAGCACCTTCAGCTGAAAGAGATGAAATCGCTTGCCCAGATCACCATGCCTGTTTAAGAGCAAAGCAGAGTCTCAGACTCCAGTGTCCTGACTCTCCATGAATCTTTCTACCAAAACACTTGAAATCTCTAGAATGACAATCACAGAATGAGAATCTGAGGCTGCACTACAGCAGTAACTAGCCACATGTGGCCCTTGAACACTTGAAATGCGACTTGTCTGAATTGAGATGTGCAGTGAGTATAAAATACACACCAGATTTCCAAGACTTACAGTGAAAGAAAAGTAACATACAATATGTCATGAATAATTTCTATATTGATTGTGTTTGAAATGATTGTGCTTTGTACATATTGGATTAAATAAGTTGTATCATTCAAATAGGTTCATCTATTTCTTTTGAAATACATGGTTATTTGAAAACTTAAATATGTAACGTGTCTTATGTTTCTATGGGACAGCTCTGGTCTGAGGATTCATGTTAGGGTATCACCTTCTCCTTCATCTCTTTAATGTCCCTCCATCTCTACTCCTAACATATAATCTCTATTCTCTAGAACTATATATCAGGGGGAAAAGGGCAGGAGTAATCAAAGGAGATGGAACTATCAAAATAGTTTGTCTGATCACATTACTGGTTAAAAATACAAATGGGCGGGGGTGGGGTGGGGGGGAGAGATGCCTGGGTGGCTCAGTCGGTTAAGCATCTGACTTTGGCTCAGGTCATGATCTCACTGTTCGTGGGTTTGAGCCCCGCATCAGGCTCTGTGCTGACTGCCAGCTCAGAGCCTGGAGCCTGTTTCAGATTCTGTATCTCCCCCTCTCTCTGACCCTCCCCTGCTCACACTGTCTGTCTGCCTGTCTGTCTGTCTCTCTCAGAAATAAATAAAACATTAAAAAAAAATACAAATGAGGGGCACCTGGGTGGCTCAGTTGGTTGAGCATCCAACTCTTGACTTCAGCTCAGGTCATGATCTCAGGGCTGTGGGACTAAGTCTTGTATTGGGATCCATGCTGAGAGTGGAGCCTGCTTAAAATTCATTCATTCAGCAGTCAGTCAGTCGGTCTGTCTGTTTGTCTCTCTCTCTCTCTCTCTCTCAAAATAATACAAATGAAATACTTGGAAACGCCTTGGATTTTCTTGTGTGGAAAACAATGTTTCACAAACATTAAGATTGTTTCTATTGAAAATAAAAGGAGGAAAGCAGAGCAAGCTTAAGTAAGGTAGGAAGGATGTGTAAGGACAATGGAGTAGCCCATGGAACCCCAGGAAAGGGCACCGAGCCTCAGAAACAGCTTGGAACTGGGCCTGAAGCACTGTTGTGGGCTCTGTCTCCATTCATCACTGCAAAGCACAATGGTTTTTTTTTTATTCCAATCCACATGATGATGATGATGATGATGACGACGACGACAAAGACCAAGTGGAGGAAAGACCATAGTTACTAAATACTTAGTATATACAAGGGACATGCAAAGCACTTCATATATATTGTATGGAATCTTCATTAAATCCACATTTAATGTATAATTTTCCCATTGAGCAAGTAAGAAAATCAAGGTTTAGATAGGTTTAAAACATTTCACCCAAGGCCATGTAGCTATTAAAGGGCAGCACCAAGATTAGAATCAAGTGATTGGGTGATTAACAATATGCCACTTGGCCTCTTATTGTAAAGGGTCCTTACCACCCAGAATGTTCACTTTAAATCTCCCAAAACAAGATTGCCAAGAGGATTAAATGAAATACTGTGTGTACATCTTCGAGTTCAGGTCAGCTGGTGGTATTACTTGTGTTGTCTTCTTTGTTCTAGGGAGTAGCTGAACGGACACTAGAATCTTTGTCTCAATATCATGTTATCAGTGGAGGGGTTCAGATTGACAACACAAGTCAAGGACCTAGTTCAAGATTAATCAACTGTTTCTAGGAGGGTCAGAGGTGGCTCCCTGAGGCTCCACCCCTGTGAGTTAAAGAAGAAAGGTGAAGTGTTAGGAGACAGGCTACCATCCAAAGTGATGTATACTATAATCTCTCAAAAGGCTGAATAAACATTACTCTGGCCCCAAATATTACCATCTTTTTTTAATTTACCAAACCTCTTTAGCAAGTTAGAAGCACTACTGAAGGCAGACTTGCATAGTCTGAGTTCTCAAATGAGACTCTTCTTTTATGGGCTACATTGATTAGTAATTTTCAAACTACAAATATCAGAAAAACCAAACTCACATTGGATTAAAGAAAATGGGGTTTCTAAAATATGGGATTTTTTTCTCTCACATAACTACAAGATTAGAGGCAGGTCTGGCATCTCTGAGATGTTCTTAGCCACTTTCACAAGGGGCACAAGATGGCTGTCCCCAGGCAGCAATTGTTGGGGTGTTTGCTCAGAGGGCATATAAACATCTGTTTCAATAGAAACATAAATATGTTCTTTACAGAGCTCTGTCTAATCAGTTTCTCTAAAAATGTGACACCATAGACATTAGGAGCATGCACTGTTAGGGAAATCACAAATTGCAATAGGATATGCTAATCCCACTCTATCAATTTCACTTCAGAGGAAGGTGCATCAAGTTTCTCGTGCTCGGAAACCTACTGCGGCCTTTACCCTGAGTCAGAACCAGAAGTGAATGCAATGGCTAATTTCTTGAGAAAAAACATCAACCACATTAAGGCTTACATCAGTATGCATTCATATTCCCAGCAGATACTCTTTCCATATTCCTATAATAGAAGCAAAAGCAAAGACCATGAGGAACTGGTAAGTGCTACTTATTTTTTTTCCATTAGCATTTCAGAAATAAAAGAATACCAAGTTCAAGAATCAAAAGCTGGTGGAAAAATTCTCCTTTGGAGGCCAGATGGAAAGATGCTTTATATTTTGATCTCATTCTACTGAGAGTCACCCTGGGTCATGGTTCACTGAGGGAATATAATGAATGGGTCCTACTCTGTGAACAAGAACTTCAGTCCAGCAAATGGGTATCTAAGAACATAACAGACATACTGCTTGAAGGTCATGGGGGGAACCATTCCTCATGGAGCTGATCTACGTATAAAGCCCTAAAGCAAGGACAAGAGTCTCTGGAATTGTGGGTCTGTTTTGTGGTACCCAGCTTTCAACAACAGATAGATCAAGTCCTGGTACATCACTCATTAATTTGATGTCAACATTGGGAATTGTGTACACACTGTCCTCTCTAACCCTCTGGCGGTTGGTTTTATTAAAAGCACCTCCAATTTCAACATTGCAGCAAGAGCCCTTTTTTTTGGAATGTAGTGAATGATACAGAAGTTCAAAGAAGACTCATTTAGTCTGCTAACCCCTCACTCCTTTTTGGTCCCAAATGTTCTGTGTTTGAGTTGATGGCAAAGACTGCAAGGGTTTTGATGGATTGTAGCTATGATTGGCCAAATTCTCACCCCAGATGCCTTCCAGACAATGGAAGGGTTATGGCAACAGTCTGATTCTTGCCCAAGTTCTGATCTTTATGTAGTGGTTTATTTCTTGCTGACTCATTTTAATCTGGCTCTCTTTCCTCTTTCTATTTTTATTTTTTAAAATTTGTATCTATTTGTTTTTGTTATTGAAGTATAGTTGACATACAATATTATATTAGTTTCAGGTGTACAACATAGTAATTCCACAGTTCTACGCTTTATGCTCACTGTAGTAAATGTACTTACCATCTGTCACTGTATAACATTATTAGAATATTTTTGACTATATTCCCTATGTAGTATTTTTTAACCCATGACCTCTTTATTTTATAACTGGAAGTTTATACCTCTTAATTTTCTTCACCTTTTTGATCCATCCTCCCAACCCCCTCCCCTCTGTCAACCACCAGTTTCTTCTCTGTATTTATGATTGTTTCCATATTTTTGTTTGTTGATTTGCTTTGTTTTTTAAGATTTCACATGTAAGTGAAATCATACAGTATTTGTCTTTCTCTAACTTACTTCATTTAGCATAATACCCTCTAGGTCTGTCCATGTTGTTGAAAATCTCATTCTGTTTTATAGTTGGGTAATATTTCATTGCGCACGCGCACACACACATACACCACATCTTAATCCATTCAGCTATCAATGGATACTTCAGTTACTTCCATAACTTGGCTATTGTAAATAATGCTGCAATAAACATAAGGGTCATGTATCTTTTCAAATCGTTGTTTTCATTTTCTTTGGGTAAATACCCAGTAGTGGAATTACTGGATCATACGATATCTCTATTTTTAATTTTTTGAGGAAACTCCATAGTGTTTTCTGTAGTGTTCACCTCAATTTACGTTCCTACCAAATAGTGCATGAGAGTTCTTTTTTGTCCACCTCCATGCCAATACTTGTTATTTCTTGTATTTTTTATTATACCCTTTCTGATAGGTGTAAGGCAATATTTTGTGGTGGTTTTGATTTGCATTTTCCTGCTGCATGGTGATGTTGAGCATCTTTTCACGTATCTGTTCATCATTTGTATGCCTTCTTTGGAAAAATATCCATTCAGGTTCTCTGCCTATTTTTTAATCAGATTATTTGTGGGGGTTTTGTTTGTTTGTTTGTTTTGGTGTTGGTTTTATGTCCTGGTCCTCTATCAGGAATAAACTATAGCCACATTAAGGGCTAGAAGTGGCTGATGACAAATATAATGTTATTGGCACCTACTGAAAATAGCTCTTTTAGAACCTAAATGTACTTGATGCTTGCAATTATTTCTTTTCTCAAAGGAAAACTTTTATGGAAAGCTCCTTTATTGGTGTTATCCTTGAAGAAATGAAAGGGTATTTATTATGATTTGGAAATAGAATTAGTCTGATTTCCCCTTATTTTTGGATTACTATTATCACAAGTATTTTGTTGAGAGTGATATTGTGTAAAATCTTGTGTTTGGTGGACACAAAAAGAAGCTTTCGGAAGGACCTTGCCCTTTAAGAGAACATGATATGGTCAGGGAGCTCAGCCACTAGTGAACGTTACAAGTACCTGTATTCCAAGTGCAGTAACTACTAAATAAGTTGGCACAGATGGTGAATCCTCAATTCTGACTGGGCCAGCACAGGGTGGCCTCATTAAAACTATTCAAAAGTAAAGGCTAGAGAAGGTTGGGGATAAAGTCCCTGTCCTTGAGGAATTTATCATCTCTTAAAAGTTCACATACTCCAAAGAAAAAATAATAACGAAGGGCTATTGACATCAAAGAACAGATACACTTTCAGCCAGAAATGGGAAGATAGGAATTCTACAGGCACACAGGGAAGGGAGGACATTCAAAGCTGAGGAGATGCGTTCTCCACAGGAAGCACGTTCAGGGGACCGTGTGGGTGTGAAAGTGGAGAGTGACGCCATCAGAAAGTATATGTGGTCAGCTTGTTTCCATGTCAGAATAAATTTGTGTTTTATTCTGTAGAGAGTGGAGCTCTGTTACAATTTTTCTGAACAAAGGAATGGTACAACATAACATGCACTAAATTCCTCCGGGTTATTTTAAGAGAGTGACAGTGAATACTAGCACTAACTTCATAAAAGATCTGGATAAGCTAGAAACAGTTGTAGTAGAACAAGAGAGTTACTCATTAGTCTGTTGCTTCATCCTGGGAACATGATCCTTTTTGTGTGATGAGTCTTTAGGAGTCATTAGGCATTTTACCCAAGAAGAAAATAGAGTTTGTGAGAAGGGAATGAAGTACGTATTAGGTATACAAAGTATTTACAGAAGCTGCATTTAAAGTTTGGTGATGATTTTGTGTAGGAATAGGGTAACCCCAGTCTGTTTGCCTTCAGAATACAGTTATACTTTATTTTATATAATAAATAAACTCCTAAAAAAAGCATGTGGGAATTATTTTTTCTTCAAGTTAAATAAAATTTTCAATGTATTAGAAGAGTCTATATTTAATGCCACCCAACTGTGATTTCTATAAAACAAAAAAACATTTTTAAAAGTTTATTTTTTCTTCTTACTACACAGATTTTTCATATATACAGTTTTTTCCAGCTTTGTTAAGATATAACTGATGTTTAACATTGTGTAAGTTTAAGGTGTACAATGTGATGATTTGATACACTTCTACATTGTGAAATGATTACCAAAATAAAGTCAGTTAACACATCCATCGCCTCGCATAATTACAACTTTTTCCTTCTGTGCTGAGAACGTTTAAAATCTACTCTCTTAACAACTTGCAAGTATATAAAACAGTGTTGTTAACTATAGTCTCCATGCTGTGTGTTAGATTCTCAGAGCTTCTTCATTTTATAACTGGAAATTTATATCCTGTGACCAACATCTTCCCATTTCATTCACCCCTAACCCCCTAGCAACCACCATTATACCTTCTTTTTCTTCACATATACAGTTTGATTCATTTAATATATGATTTTCTTTAATAAACTCTACCTGTCTTGCTCCAAAGCTGCACATTAACTGAAATTTCATATTTTATTGATTTCAGTCTCTAGTGGCCAGTGAAGCAGCCCGTGCTATAGAGAATACTAATAGAAATATCAGATATACACACGGCAGTGGTTCGGAAAGTTTGTGTAAGTATTTCTCCTTAACATCTTGAAGAACTGTGAGGTACTAAAGAAGTCTATGTGTTTGGTTTTTCTGTGTGGATTTAATTTTTTCTAAATATAATCTTTAAACAAGGTCACGTGTAAAACAGTTGGATTATAACAATTAGAGATGGGAGCATGTTAGCTATGACAGAACTGAACAAGGCTATATTAATATATGAGAACACTGAAAAGAAACCAAAGAGGTATTTAAAAAATCATGTTCACTGCTATAGAACAGAGATTATAGAATTGGCATCATAGTAGTTGAGTGAAGCAGGAAAGTTCATAAAGGATTAAAAAATACATAAGATACCAACGGCCACCATATAGGCCTGCACAGGTTGAACACTAAACAAATCTAGAGAACACTGTTTACATTAGATGCTTGATAGTGACAGGCTGTGCTCATTACAGCATACTATAGTTAAGTGTCTTTTGCTTGTATCATGCTGATGATAGCTTGTATATGGCAAACTCTTAAGAAATATTTTAAAATTTAATTTCTGCTGTTGGTAGATATTTATGAGGGACTCCTTTTCACCCACATTGGGATGACAGATAATGATTTTTATCCTGTGAAACTGGAGGGGGAGATGGGGAAAGAGGAAGAGGAAATAAGCATGTAACCAGGTGTCCACAAACTACGACCCATAGGCCAAATTCAGCCCATTGCTTGTGAGGCACAGGCTTGTGAGATAGGAATAGTTTTTCCATTTTTTAAATGGTTGAAAAAAAAACAAAAGAAGAATGAGATTTTGTGACACGTTAAAATTATATAAATTCAGATTTCCGTATCCAAAAATAAAGTTTTATTTGAACACAGAGACACCCATTTATTTATGTATTGTCTATGATAGCTTTCATGACAGTAGTATTGAACAGTTTTATAACAATTTGTGGCCCACAGAACCTAAGGTATTTACTATCTGGTCCCTTCACAGGAAAAGTTTGCCAATCTCTGATATAAACAACTAAATAGTAAAATATAGTATAATCCCATTGATAAGTGAAGAAAATAAAATAGGCTTAAGGATCTGAGGATGACTGCAAGAGAGAGAAGCTACTTAGCTAAAGTGACCTGGGAAGGTCTCTCTCTGTAGGTGACACTTCTGGGAGATGTACCTGACAACTGGCTGCCAAACACTGGTGTCAGAGAAAAACCGAGGAGAGGGAATGGCTTGTGTAAAAGCCCTGAGACAATATTCAAAACCCCAAAGTTTTCTTTAACAGGTATGATCTACAGGAGTATAAAAATACATTCATCTTAATAATTACATTCATATGATTTTCAATAAATTGCTTTATCCCTGGATGTCCTTTTAGTAGGAAGTCCAGAATCTTCCTCATCCTCCTCAACTACCCCAAAATGTCTCAGAACAAAGAGGGATCAGACTGGTCTGCATGGTATCTGTCTCTTGCTGTCACTGGTCCCCTGCTACCTTTGCTGACCCAAGTCCTTGAACTGTCAGAGAGGAACCCCATACCTTCCTTTCACAATTCAGAGCTTTCTTGATTCCCATCCTCTTCTTTATCATTGTTCCCCAAAGCATAACCATAGAGCCTCAGGGCTGAGGAGCTTTAAAAGCAACTTTCTGCTGTGGTGAAATCAGTCTATCCCTACATATTCATTCATTCAGGATACATCTAAGTGGTTGTGTGCATAAGCACAAGAAAATGTCTAGAAGAAGAAATGCCAGATATTGATAGTGGTCAGAAATATTTGCCAAATAACATATTTAATCCACTGCTGATGGATATTTCTCAGTATTAGAAACAATGCTTTGGTAAACATCTTTGTAGTTAATTCAGGTACAGGAATTAGAGGCAGAAATGATCACTTTACATATTATAAGATTATCTATCTGGAAAACAGTAGAAATCAACCAAAAATGCTAGTAACAATCACAAGTTGAGTAATGTTTGGGGCACCTGGATGGCTCAGTTGGATAAGTGTTCTGCTCTTGATTTTGGCTCAGGTCATGATCTCATGGGCACGAAATTGAGCCCTGAGCTGGGCTCCATGCTGGGATCCTGCTTAAGATTCTCTCTTTCCCTCTCCCTCTGCCCCTCCCCTGAGTACATGCACAAACTCTCTCTCTCAACAAACAAAACAAAATCACAAAAGTTGAGTAAGGTGGCTGACTATGAACTAAATATACAGAAATCCAAAGCTCTCTTATATACAACAAAAATAATAATCAGGTAGAAAATAAAATGGAAAAAAAGATCTTACTACCCCTTCATATTGTATACACATACACATGAACACACATATACATACTGATACATACATACATGTGAATTCATTGTCAAATGTATATATGTGTCTACACACACAAATAAATCCATATATCTATGTGAAAAACCTAGAAAATTTTACTGGTAACAATAAAAGAAGATAAATACAAGGAGAAATGCATCATGTTTTTGAGTGGGAAAGCAATATAAAAATGTGTCAGTTGTGCTAAATTCCTCTGTATATTTAATGCAATTCCAATGAGCAGTTAAATGACTTTGAGCTTCATTTGAAGGAATAAAGTTGGTAGAACAGCTTGTAAAATCCTGAAAATTGAGACTAATAGGAGAATTTGCCCCAACCAGGTATTGAGGCATATCATAAACTTATAGTAATTAAGACTGAGGATCAGAGCCTGGAAGAGATATATCAACAGAAGGGAATAGTAAGAACAGAAAGACACTTAAATATATAAGGGCGTCTAGTATCTCATAAAGGAGGCCCTTCTAAGAATGTTGGTTATTCAATTAATAGGGTTGGAAAATCTGACAACTTACTTAGAAAAAGAAATTAATTGATTACTAACATGCCTTTCTCCAAACTAAATTCCAGATAAAATATTTTAATATAAATACACTGCCATAAACCAAGTTGAAAGCTAAATAACCAAATAATAAAAAAAGCTTACATATTACACAAGGTGAGTCACACTAATATCGCTGTTATAGACCACCTATAAAATGAATCGAGTAGAAAAATAAACAAGATATAGAGTAGAAAAATCAAGCGGAAAAATATATAAACATGGACAATAAATATACCAAATAAAATGTTCAATTCAGCAGTAATCAAAGAAACAAGATGATTCTATATTATTTTTCACCCATAAAATTGCCAGAAATGCACAATTCCTGTGGATGGCATGGGAAGGGAAGTGGGCATATTCAGACCCTGCTAGTGGAAGTGTAAATTGGTTCGATTCTTTTCAAGGTTTTTTGGCAACATGTAGCATAACTGTAAAAAGTACATACTCTTAGGAAGGTAAATCCATTCTAGGAAAGAATATTCTAAAGAAACAAAGAAGCAATTAGTAAAAACAAGAAAGTTCATTGTAAGGTTGTTTATATTAATTAGAAATTAGAAGAAAATCTAATGGTCTCCAAGTAAATAATTATATCTAGCTTTACAGTGTAATGCTATGGGTCATGAAAAATGATATTATAGATTTGAAGTCATTAATACATAAATCTGGTCAGATAGATCAGGTTTAGAAATTTTACAGGGCCACCTGGGTGACTCAATCAGTTAAGCCTCTGACTCTTGATTTCAGTTCAGTTCATGATCTTGAGTTCTTGAGTTGGAGCCCTGTGTCTGGCTCCCCATCACTGACGGTGCAGAACCTGCTTGGGATTCTCTCTCTCTCCTTCTCTCTCTAAAAATAAATAAACTTTAAAAAAGAAGAAATGTTACAAAACTGCATGTATAGGATAATCTTATTTATGTAGGGAAAAAATGATGTTAAAGCATGCACTGGGGGGAAAAAGGCACTAAAATATTAATAGTGATTATTACTCCTTGGCAGGGTTTTGAGTAATTTCTTCTTTAACCTGTTTGTCTTCAATCTCCATTTCTACCCGAATCTTAGATTAATAATCAGAAAAAAAATCAGCGCTATTTTTATTTTTAGGGGAAAAAATTCCATTTTGCTAGTTAACTTGAAATATCTGAATTTCAAAAAGTAATTTCTTTTTTCTTCTTGTAGACCTAGCTCCTGGAGGTTCAGATGACTGGATCTATGACCTGGGCATAAAATATTCGTTTACAATTGAACTTCGAGATAAAGGCAGATATGGATTCTTGCTGCCAGAGCGTTACATCAAACCCACTTGTACGGAAGCTCTTGCTGCTATCTCTAAAATAGTGGGGCATGTCATCAACAATGTTTAATACCCTTGATTTTTCCATTCTTCTCCCATATTTTAATTTACTGGTTCCAAAAAGACAAAATCATTGTACCAATTCTTTTTAAAGTTTTATCATTAGTTTTAAGAAAAGGTTTTCCTATTCCTTGGTTTTGTCAAAGAACAAAATAAATGCTACCGTAAAATTAAGGCAGAAAAGGGCTCACATTTCTTTTTTTTTTCTAAAAAAATGTGTAAGAGGCTAAATTCGAATTTTTTTTTCTTTGATTAAGGACGTTTGACCGTCGACCTCAAGCGATTTTAATAACTAATTTCTAGATCATTGGACCACAAAAGGAAAGGTGGTTAGGACATTAAAGATTTCTGCTCCAAATTTTCAATGAACTGCCTGTGCCTTTAAAAACAAAACTGTGTCTCGTTTGCTCCACTGTAAGAAGCGAAGGCCCAGAAAGCGGAGGAGTGTCAAACACAGTACAAACACCGTCTATCACTGCTCAGTGAACGTTGCTGAGCAAATGAATGAATGGCTGTAGTTATTTTCAACAACACATGTGGCATTTTGCGCATTTACAACAGCTGTTTATTGCAAGAAATTATGTAATAAAAGGAGTAAACTCTTTCTCTTAGATTCCCTTTTTATTGGAAATTTTGGCTCCCCCCGGCTCGGGGACTCCTCTCCACGGAGCCCCCACCAAGCACAGAGGTGATCATTTCCAATGCACTTCCAGGAGCCGACGTTACGCCCGGGGGGCGTGTCTCCGAAGGGGCGGTGCCTGCGCGCTGACGACTAATCTGGAGGCCGGAAGCTGCCTCAGCTGAGGGGGATCAGGGCAAACAGTTGACTTCCGGCGGCATTTTGAGTCGGTTCTCCTAGCGGCCTGGTAGTGTTTTCGTCGCCTTTTCTTACCTTCCACTCTCTCTTCGTTCTTTTTCTTCCTACGTGTCAGTCTAATTTGACCCTGGCAAGGGGCGGGCGGGTTCTACTTCTCAGCCACCCTGGGGACCCCTCGCTAGCGGAGGGCCGGTTCCCGGGAGTCGCGCGCGCACCTCCTTCTTCTCGTCGTCGTCTTCCCGGGGCCCGGCGCGGGGACAGAGAGTCGCCTCCCCCGCTCCTCGGAGCGGTGGTGGCGGTAGCGCCTCCAGACTGAGCTTGCAACGAGAGCTCGGGGAAGAGGTAAGCTTGAATTGTGCGAACCGGTATGGGTATCGGGGGAAAGGCGTTGGGCGTGGATGGCGAGGCCCCGAGTTTGTCCTCCATCTCCGCTTGGGTCACGCCAGGATTTTGAGCTCTGCTTCAGCATCCCACCCTTAACTCTGCCATTGCTCCCTCGGCTCTGGCTTCGTTTCTCGCTTTTGTTCTGATTCCTGCGAGTTTGTGTGCGGAGTCGGGTCGATTCAGACAAAAACCTGTGCCGGGACACTGTTTGTGGGCTTGGGAACCCTTGCGCAGTATTCGCATTTGTATGCGCTGCAAGGGGGCAGGAATGTGGTCTTAGATTTAGAGGCTCCCTCTTTACGCATTTCAGATCTATGAGGAAAAATTATCTCGCTGTTGGTTGTATTTGGTTTTGCTTATTTCCTGACTGGTAATTGAAGGACTTGGGTCTAGGAGGTTGAGGAGTGCTACTTTACATTACCTAGGGAGTTATTTTTGGCAATTATCTGTCAGAAACCGGGGAAAGTGGAGTGAACGGAGAGGGTCTGTTGTTTGGCATTATCTCTTTCCGAACAGGTTTAAATAATTTATGTGGCTGGAAAAGTATTCAAAGCTGATATTACTTGAATGATATTGGTAGGTTCTTGTTTGTGGAGCGTAGTGTCCTAAGCTTTTGAGTTATATTACGAAGTTTTCAGATAACTTGAACTACTCTGAAAATTAGAGACGTATACTATCCGAGACATTTTTGGGTTTTTTGAAGAAACAGTTTTAAAAGTTTGGAAAATATCGTCACACTTCAACTAGTCAAAGTCCGTGATACCGTTGCAGTTAATCTAAATGTTTATGCAGTACTCATGCATATGCATATGGTGCCGGAGTTAGCGGAGTCCAGTTCTGCAGTGTTCGAAATTACTGGCTGTAGTACCTAAGCGACAGTATTGTGGAGAGTTTTGTGGGTATAATCTGTAGATTTTCATATACTTTGCAATTCTTAATGAAATGTTAAGATTATATCATGACAGTTTAAACAAGAGACTACTAAGAACGTTGATTCAGGTATAGAGCAGTTTGTGTCTGTAAAAATAGTTGTACCATGAAACTTAGACTTTTACCGTGTGGTTCTGGTACCAATCAGTTTTATCAAATGCATGCCTCTTACTGGCTTCCTAATTATTGCTGATTCGAAATGAATGTTGATTGCATATTTAAGATATGCAAATCAAACCAATTATCTTACTAGTAAATTAATACTAAAATCCAACAAGTTGGTGCTATTTTCACTTATGTACAGGTTATTAGAATTTTAATAAGTTATCAGTGCTAAATTGTATTACGGTATGCATTGGCAGTTAAATATAGAAAGCAAAATTGTTTAATTTGCATGCTCGGTTTTCAGTGGATGTTTGTTTTCGCCACTTCCTCCAACCCCACTCTCCATTTCATATAGAGTTGGAGCTATTTAGTAACAGTTGAAAGTTAACTGGTGTTGCTGTAGAAAGTGTCTTTATTCTTTTTTGGTAGTTTGTCTGTTGCAGTTCTATGTATTTCACTTTATACTAGTTGCCAGCATTGGTGATTCTCTGTGCATAGTCTTTTTTACAAATTATTTTTATTGCACAGTGCTACAGTATTGCCTTGCTCATAGAGCTGTAGTCAATTTAGTTCTGTTAATTTTGTTTGGAATTCAGTTTGGAATTGTTTTAGTCTATTTATATGTAACATGCAAGGTTGTTTTAGAAAGTTCTTAAAAAAATTCTCCCAGATTATGCATCAAATAAGTTTCTAAACTGTTTTTCTTTCAAATATATGAACTATAACTATGAAGAGCCCTTATTTTTAATATAAACCTTTTAATTTTAGAAATTCAATGGATAAGGGTTTATTCTACTACCAGTTAGTACATTTATGTAGTTTTATTTGTTTAATTACTTGACGGTTTCCTAATACGATGCTGCTACTCATCCAGATTAAGATAATTTATGCTTTCATTTGTGCTAGGGGAAGAGGAGGCCTCAAAAAGATGTAATTATGTATTATAGTGAGGATACTAGAATTGATACATGTTTTATTGACAAGATTTTAGTAATTAGGCTTCAGGAATAACTGGTAATTTAAAAAGTTTCTATATGTTTTTCCTTTCTTAGCCATATTTATAGTATGTAGCTTTGAGTACATTGTGATACTTGTAAGTTTTGGAGGAAGAGAGGGACAGTTCCCATTTATTAAGACTCCCTTTTGTTTTAGTAGAGTCAAGCTTCGTGTCCCCTGTTTTTCTTTTTTTCAATTGAAAAGATATGAAAACTTTGACATTTATTTACTCTGCAAATAGAGGGAAGAAATAGGAAAATAACTCAATACACTTTCACAGGTGTCACTTGGGCTTTGCTAATGATGGTGTTTGGGAAAGATTTAATGATGTGGGTGAAAGTGTGATGACAGTTTGAAATCAAAGAATAATTTGAAAACAGAACTGGGGGGAAAACCTTTAAAGTCTCTAAGATAGAGAAGACTTTAATATTTACATTTTTTATTTCCTTGTTTCTAACTTTTCTCATATACTTTGAAGTATTTGCTTATTGAAGCATGTTCAGATACTAATTGAAAAAGGTATCCCCCCATGTCTATATTGTGGTATTTTTTTTCTTTTTCTTTTTTTTTTTTTAAAGTTACTTGTTGTTTGTTTATTTGAGAGGGAAGGAGGGAGGGGGAGAGGGGGAGGGGGAGAGAAAGTATTCCAAGCAGGCTCTACACTGTCAGTGCAGAGCCCAATGCAAGGCTCGAACATGACCTGAGCTGAAATCAGTAGGCCCTTAACCGACTGAACCACCCAGGTGCCCCTCTGTTGTGGTATTTATTTGCCTTTGAGGGCCCAAATTTTTAGAAAGAAAATTCTAACTAAGTCATATTAAGTGGTAACATACTTTTAAAGTAATAAGTTAATACATATGAGTAAATGCTTTTCCTGTATTGTAGATTTTGTGTATATATTTAGACAAATAGGGTTTAAAGTATATTTTGCAAGCATAAAGCATTTTATCTATGCCAATCATGAATGTTTCAGTAATAATATTTAGAGAACCATTGGTGACTACTGATAGAAGTTCCTAGATAGATGATTAGAAGAATTGCTATTCCTTTCAGTTAGAAAAGTTCAAGTCCTACTTTTTCCCTTTTGCCTCAGATTTTTTTTTCCTGTCCACAACCTCCCAATTAACATAGACCCAGTATTCAAAGTCAGTGTGATTTTAAGAGGAAGTCTGACACTGTTGGATGCTGAGAATATGACTTTTATTTCTTTGCTGCTTTCCCTTAAGTTGGAAGACTCAACAATAGCTAAAAGTAAAGTTCTAGTGATAATCGCTATGTAGGTGAATCTTGACTAGTTCTTGATGTCACCTGTGCAAGCAACTTTTTCTCTGTGGGAAGGAACTTTTTTAGTGGCAAGAATACAAGAAGGGATATAGGATTCGGTCATTAGACCTCACTTGAATATCTTCAACATACAGTCCAGACCTTTTGAAATCTTCAAAGTTTATGGTAATGATCTAGCATTAGAGAGAAGCTGTGGTTTTCAGTGGTAGGGGAGTGGTAGAGTGCTGAGCTGAGCAACAGATTGTAGAGCAGGAAGAAAAACAAGAAGGGAGACGGTAGAAGACCGGTGTTTCAGATATAATAATAAGTAGCTTTTTGCCCTAATTATGGAAAGCACTAACATTAATTTGTTTTGGAGGCAGGTGTGTTGGGAGTGGTGGCATAAGGGGCTATATAGGAGTTTTGGAAGCAGAACTATTTCCATTGATAGTGGAGGGAAATACGTTAAGGTTAGGGTTAGTCTTTTTAGGTGGTGGGGTGGGATGCCTGTTTCCCAGGTTCTAAATAACTAATAATAGCTAATAAGGAACTTCTAGAACTCCTTCAATTGTAAGTTTATTATTAAATGTTTTAAAAACTGAATTAGTGAATGCGGATTATAATGTACATCTATATATTAATAGTTACAGTAATATGTAGTGAAACTTTAAACGTGTTTTTGTTCTAAACTTTCCCTATATATTTTGTGACATACTCACTTTTTATTGACTCCTGCTCAGATATAAATTGTAAAAAAGTGGCTTTCTTAGTTAATCAAAGCTTTACATTTTGTAGATCTTTCCTCAGCTCCACTTATCTTGGCTGAATTTCAGGTCTATAAAGAACATTTCAGTTTAGTAAATCAAATGGATATATGAAATTTTACCAACTTTTACTCTGTAAATTTGCCTTTGGGCTGAGAATGAAATCGAAGATTATCTTACACTACTAACTGTTGTATGTACAGTGGCTGTATAGTTCCTTACTTGGAGAACAGTTGACACATAGGTGATTTCATCTTGCAGCACTCTATGCTGATTCTTTAAAATCTGTAATTAAAATTCTAACATCTTTGAATCACTAAGCATTAATTATTAACATGGTTGTATTTTATATGAAAGAAGCCTATACCTTCCCCCACCCCAATTTAAAACTACTATATTATATCATTTCCTGTTTTCCTCTTGGTTCATTATCTTTGTTCATTTGTCAAATGTTGTCCTTACTCTTAGGATTCTTTTAAAAATGTGAGCTGAAAAGAAGTGTCTAACTAAACCAAATATTGTTTATAATTTTTCCTAAAAATTTGATTTGGTACTATCATGATTTAATCTCCTTTCAAGTGATAATGTCTATTTTGAAACCACATTAAAGAGGTTTTTGAATTTGTGAACTTTGTGGAGACCAATTCTATACCAAATGGAACTTTTACTTCTTTGGCTGCTATTGTTCATTCTAGTAACTTTTTACTATTGATAAGATTTCAGCAATTTAGGTTGTATTAAGTGTGATATGGATTAGTGTTTTTATTTGCCCTCTTAGGCAGTTCTTAGGCAATTCCCAGAGTGATGTACTAAGTTTTTCTAGATCTAGAATTTAATATCGTTTTCTAACATATATCATAATACTGATATTTTCATTTCCAGTTAAATTACCTGAATATATATTTGGATTTGTTTTGTTACGGTTTTAGTTTTGAATGTTTTATTTACCTTTGTAAAATGTTTTTACAATTTGCCTTTCTTATTTCTAAAATGGTAAGATAGCCTGTTCATCACTTTTAGCATCTTTGATTTTTATGTCAGTGTGGTATATAAATTCTAGAAACATCTTGACTTCTAGTTCTGTAGCCTGTTCCATTTTGGGAAAAAAGTCATTTTATCAACATTGATTTTTTTTTTATATTATTGGAAAATAAACATCCTTCATTAGACTGTTCTTTTTTAAGGTCTGTAAGATGGAGAAAATATTTAGTTTTTACTTTTCTCCCAAGCTGAGTTTTGGAATATACCTAATGTTGTTATACATTGTATAAAGCATAATTTCTACTATCACCTTATATTATTTCCTATTCTCTTTGACATAGCTTTTCCTGTTAACTAGTTGATGGAGAATGATGTACAACTTTTCCTTGAAAGATAGTTAACTGAATTTTGAAACTTTTTTAAGGATGGTAGAAACTAAACATTTTATAGTGTGTTTTCTGAGGTTGAATGTACTTTGAAAACTTGGAAGAGGTGAAATTGTAGCCAACAGGTTTCAAAGTTGTTATAAATTCACTAATAAGGTGTGCCTTAGAAGATACCTTCTGTTACCTATGTTTACCTGTGACTTCTCTATGCCTTTTGTCTCCTGAGAAAAATTCCCCATAATTTTAGTGTTATCTACAGCTTTATCTACATGTAAGTTATGGGCTCAGTTAATTTAAAACTGAAGAATTTTACAGTTTTGCCTCTCTCTTTTTTGGTTAAAGTAGTACAAAATGTCAAAAATTAGAAGGAAGGTCACAGTGGAAAATACCAAGACCATATCTGATAGCACATCCCGAAGACCCAGTGTATTTGAGAGGCTTGGACCCAGCACTGGCAGTACAGCAGAGGTGAGTTGTCACTGGAACAGTCACAGGGCTTGTCTTATAATCCTATTCTTGAAGTACTGATTTGTATCATAAAGGTGAACAGATTGTTGTATTGGAGGAATGTTCAGTAAATTTTTAAAACTGAGTATCATAAAGAGGAGTGAAAAGAGTAACAGTTTTTATGTTTTTTTTTTTTTCCTGATATTTTTATTGTTTGGGGAATAATGTATCTCAGGTTATCTGGAATTTTGGTAGAATTTGTTGTAATTTTGTCCCACTAACATCATTTTTCCAGAAATAAATCTGAAATTTACATAGTAATATCTGTCTCTTAGACACAGTGCCGTAATTGGCTGAAGACTGGCAACTGCCTCTATGGAAACACATGTAGATTCGTACATGGCCCTTCACCCCGTGGTAAAGGTTATAGCAGCAATTATAGAAGGTAAATTAAGAACTTTGAATTGTTCACATACTATTAGAAGATGGCTTTTGTAATTTAGTTAGTATAAAAGTCTGAAATACATATATTTGATTAGATTTTCTCTTTTGGTGGTAGTCTTCTCAATAGTCAAAGATCAACAAGATCATTTTAGTTGTTAATTTCAAGATTAATAAAACGTATGCTTTAAAATTATTTGATCAGTATTTACTGTTTTTGCCAACAGATATTTTTCTGTGTATGGCTTACTTCTCCCCCCACCCAATTATGTATGAAAATGGTTTAAGATAGAATTCTATGGATTTATATTTACTTAGAGGAAACATTTTTTTGAGGGGAGACTTTTTAACTCTTAAAATATTAAAATTTAAAGCATATAATTTTAGCTTTTTAAGATGTTCTTAATTCAAATCTTCCTGACAAAAGACAATCTACTGCAAGCCCTGGAGATTAAAATGCATTTGCCAAATCTCTTCTCACTACGTATTAATGTAAAATATATATTTATATGTGGGTAAAGGTACTACTACCTATTTAGAACATCTTTTTGCTTTTGATAAAGGCAAAGCTAAATGAAATTTTTTAATAAAGACCTTTTATTTTTCTTTCAATTCAGTTCACAATTTTGTTATTTGTGTTTGAATATGTAACATGTAAAGATTGTCACAAAAGCAGTTTAAACCTGATTAATAATTAACCAAGTCCTAAAATTGAATGTGCTGATTGCTTTGGCTACAGCAAGAGTATGAAAATTGAACATTAGCATTTGCAGATTTTTTTTAAATAAGTGAAATGATGTGTGTGTTTGTGTATAGATTTTGAAGCTTAATAGAATTTAAAATTCAAACCCTGAACTGACTTTCTGTTCATGTAAAATGTACATTTTAGCTTACTTGTGATGCTGAATATTTGTTCTTTTTGTATTTAGATTGTCATCTGTGCCCTCTGTTAATGTGAGAAAACCAGTTCTTAAATATATTTAAGTATCTGTATAAAACACCTGGGCAAAGTGTTTCAATAATTTTAATGTTTTTATATTATTACTACACTTTAATACATGCTTTAATTCATCTGAAATTTACTGTTAACTGACAGAAATTTTTATGCCAGGGATAAATTGGTGGTAAATGGGCAGAGAAATTGGTTAAAATGGAAAAATATAGTGTCATTACTAGACTTAGAATAAAGGATTTTTTAATTTTGTGCATGTTTTTCCATTTGCTAACCCCCTTTGGCTTTGTCTTTTTTTCCTTCTTTTGTAGGGAAGAGAATATAGTTCATAATGTGATTCAAAGATGGAAAGAAAAGCAGTGTATTTCAGAAATGCTTGTTTAGTCAAAAGATATTAAAGTCATAATCTTTAATATGAATATAAATAAGTCATAAGTATATATATAAATTTGATATAAATAAGTCTTATTATGTAAAGGAAACCAGGGTACAAAAGATTTTCATGTACATTATAATTAAAATTTAAAACATTTAAGTAACTGGTTCTTAATAATAAGTTTCACTTTCAAGGTCAGATTTAACTGTTAAAACATTTAATACAGTCATAAAATATACATATAAATATTAATCAGAGCCTTTAGAGTGTATTAACTGAATTATTCTTCATTAATATGATTTGTATTGATAAAAGAATTGATTTGATTGGTTAACTATTACTTGAAATAGATGTAAATGTTTACGTGATTTCTTTTTATCTTTAAAAATATATATATATGCAGTATTTTTTGGTGGCCAGTGAGGTACATACCACTCCTTAACTTACGTTGCCCTTTTTTTAAGATCTAGGAATATTCTTTTAAGGGTTGTGTGTTTTCCATCTCTGCTTTGTTTTTTTACTTAATAATGGTGTGAAAATAATTGGATAGCCATTTATAGAATTTTCAGTATAAATTATGAAGGTTTACAGAATTGAATATAAATATTTATGATTTTCCTTAATTAAAGGAAATCCACTACTTAAATCCTGCTTTGAATCCTTAACTATTTTCTATTCTGAAACAGTATCAAATTTAAGAAGAGTTATAAGAATAACTTAAAAGTCCTATATTTGCTGTGATTCTTGAGGTGGGTAATTCTCAGTTGTTGGTGTTGCATCCAGCCACATACATACATACATGATAATACTATTAATGTTGCCTTTTGATTAATTTTACAACCTTGTGGTTTAAAACTTTATCTTCTGACTGTTTACTTCAAATATAAATGATGCATTTGTGTGATTTTTTAGAAAAACAAATTAAGCTGTTAATTACAATTTTTTTTTCTCAGCTAACATACAGTTTCTTATTCATATCACTAGTACCTGCCTCCTCATGGGATTTTAATGTATACACTTCTGGTTGGTATTGGGAGAAAACCTGTAAGTGATGTTCATATTATTTATATGTTAATATTTAAGCTCAAGCAAATTAATTGTTTTTCTGAGCATTAGGAGCCATGGACAGTTAAAACATTTTTTCTTGATTTGTGATGTGTTTCTGTAAATACATTCTTATAAATGTTATATAAATATAGATTTTTGTTTTGTTTTCGTTTTGTTTTTGTTTTTGTTTTTTTGATTCAAAGGTCACCAGAAAGACCTACAGGGGACCTTAGAGAAAGAATGAAGAACAAGCGCCAAGATGTGGACACTGAGTCCCAGAAACGAAATACAGAGGAGTCATCCTCACCTGTTAGGGTAGGAATGAATTTCCCAAAACAAAGTTTAATTTCAGTAGTGATCTGTTATTTTCCATTTAAAATATTATCTTGTGTGCTGAATATATGGTAAATGTGTAATACCATGTTATAATGTTTTACGTGGAAAATGTAACTTAGAGGAAAAACATCCTCTGGGAAAACTCCTCATTCTTGGAATTAGTTCTTGATGGTAGGTAAGATGAAGGAAATTGGTTAGCAGAACTCAAGCTGAACTTCATAGGATTTCTGTATTTTGGTGGACATCAGGAGTATCTAAAAGTATCCTGAAGTTTTCAGAATTCAGCCAGCCATCATCTCTTGTTTGTGTCTAAGAAAGATTGAAGTGGGTTACAGTAGAACACTTAGAAATTAAAACAATGAAAGCAAGCATGGTGGTGACAGAAACTGAATTAGAGAACTTAGGTGAAGGAAAGCACTTGTGACCACAAAGTCAGCGGTGAATTCCCTGATAGTGAAGCCATAAGAGAAATAAAATTGATGATTATATATAATTTGGTGATTATATAAATATATAAATTTCTATCAATATATAAATTGATTCAATATAATTTATTGAATAAAAGAAGACCTAATTTTTTCAGAAATGGAAATAGCTTCCTGAGTTAATGTTTTATATATATATATATATATATATATATATATATATATATCCTGAGATATAATTCACATACTGTACAACTCATCCATTTCAAATGTACACTTGGATGGCTTTTTGTGTATTCCCAGAGTCAGGCAACCATCACCAAAATCAGTTTTAGAGCATTTTCATCACCCTGAAAAAAAACCCTATATCCTTTAGTTGCCGGAGACTGAAACTGCACAGGTCATCCCTGATGGCAAGGCCCAGGGAAAAACCTGTGGGAAAAGACTGCAAGGCAGTCAGAAGAACCCCCTGAAGAATTCTTTTTTTCTACTTAGTCTGTGTCTTTTACTCTCACTTTTGTTATTAGTCTATTTTAGGGTTAATATGAAACTAGAATCACTCAAAAGTTTTTCTCTTTTTCTAAAATGGAATGTACTTAAATATCATGTTTGTTTTTAGTGGTCATATCTGTATCATCCAACTGACCACCAGCCCTAGGTAACCACTGTTCCACTTATTATCACTATAGGTTTGCCTATTTTGGATGTTTCATATAGCTGGAGTCCTGCAATATGTGGTTTTGTTTTTGACTAGTGTCTGTCACTTAACATAGTGTTTTCAAGGCTCATGAAAGATTATGGGGCGCCTGGGTGGCTCAGTCGGCTGAGCGTCTGACTTCGGATCAGGTCATAATCTAATGGTGTGTGGGCTCAAGCCCTGCATCAGGCTCTGTGCTGACAGCTGGCTCAGAGCCTGGAGCCCGTTTCAGATTCTGTGTCTCCCTCTCTCTCTGACCCTCCTCTGCTCATGCTGTCTCTCCTAGAAATAAATAAAACATTAAAAAAAAAAAAAGATTATAGGATACAGCAATGTTTTATTCCTTGTTTTTGCCAAGTAATATTCCATTGTATTAACGTATCATGTTTTGTTTATCCATTCATTAGTAGGTGAAAATTTGTGTTGTTTCCACCTTTTGGCTTTTAGGTGTAACGCTGCTATGAACATCCATATACAGTATTTTGAGTGGACACATATTTTCTTTTTTATTGAGTTTATATCTAGGAGTAGAATTGCTGAGTCATATAGTAACTCTATATTTGATTTTTTGAGGAACTGCTAGATTGTTTTCCAAAGCAGCTACACCATTTTACATTCTTGCTAGCAGTGTATGAGGTTTCCAATTCTCTACATCTTCATCAGCATTTGCTATTATCTAACTCGTTGATTATAGCCATCTTAATGGGTGTGATGTGGTAATCTAATTGTAGTTTTTGTAATTCCCTGATGGCTAATGATATGGAATATCATCTCCTGTGCTTCATGGTGACCTGCATGTCTTCTTTGGAGACATGTTTATTCAGATCCTTTGCCTATTTTTTAATTGAGTTCTCTTTTTATTGTTGATTTGTAACAACTCTATATTTTAGATACACATTCCTTATATATGATTTGTAAAAATTTTCTTCCATTCATGGGTTATGTTTTTACATTCTTGATGATGCCCTTTAAAGCACAAATGTTTTTATTTTGATGAAATCAGTTTATCTGTGATTTTGGTGTTTGTGCTTTAGGTGTCTTATCTAAGAAATCTAATTCAGGGTCACAAAGGTTTATGCCATGTTTTCTTCAAAGAATCTTAGCTTTAGCTTTGATCTATTTTGACTTATTTTTAATGTATGGTCCAGCCTTATTCTTTTTCATGTGGATATCTTAGTTGTCTCATAATGTTTTAATTATTGTTTAAACATTTTTAATAAACATTTCTGGTAATTTAAGCTATATAGAACCTTTCCTGTGATTGTCTTTGATCCTTGATAAAAAAAAAAAAAAAGCTGTGTTACAGTTTTACATTATAGTTTGTAGAGATTTCTCTTTGGGAACCTAAAGTAATGCAGTTTTAAGTTTGTAGCCTTCTAGTATCTGATATGATCCATGATACTTTTAGAGAGCTTACTTCTCAGCTACAGGTATGTATCAGAATTCTTTTAGAGGATAGTCTTGCAAAATACATGCTGATACTCTATCCTTGATCTACTGAAAAAGAATTTCTAGGTAGAGGCTGAACATGTGTGTTGCATTTTGAAATAACTGATTATTCAGAATAAGGAATGAACTCGTAGTTTGCTAATAATGTTTACCAACCCCTCAGGAAAAAAAAAAAAGCCATGCTTTGTACGATTTGCCAGTTTCTTGGACATAAGTGTTCCCATCATGGTCAGTCTCAAGCTAGCAAGGTGATATCACTGAAAACAGAGTTGAGAAGAGATACTCATTTTCACACCATTATATAGTATTTTTCACACACATACCACACATATATGTATACACACGTATATAATAAATATAATTAATCCTCGAGTAAAATGTACTAAAATATTTAGGAAGTGAGTTTTGAATAATTAGTACCTCTGTTTTCATTTGTTGTTAGCCTATGATTTTTAAAAATTTTTTTACTGTTTGTTTATTTTGAGAGAGGGAGAGAACAGAGCATTAGCAGCGGAGGGGCAGAGAAAAGGAAGACACAGAATAGGAAGCAGGCTTCAGGCTCCAGCTGTCAGCACAGAGCCCAATGTGGGACTTGAACTCCCAGTGAGATCGTGACCTGAACCGAATTCCGACATCCAACCGACTGAGCCACCCGGGTGCCCCTATGATTTAGTTTTTAATCATAGCTCTGTTTAACAGTAGCTTGTGCAGTTCCTAAAAATTTAGCAGTTGGCTCTTGTGAGTCAGTGTGAACTGGCTCTAGCACACCACTAAATGGACTGTAGTTTAAAGGGCAAACATCTGTAATTCATATTCTGAAGACATTATTTCAGGAATTGTTTAACTCTACTGTCAGTTTCTTTATGTGTTAAATGGAGTTGATGGCTATATCACTGTGTTACTGTGAAGAAAATACATGTAAAACAAAGTAGCCTGAGTGGCTAATCCATGGTGGCTGTTTTAATAAATGGTATGTACAGGTATGAGAGTAGCTCTCAGCCTTCCTCTCTAATATAAATCGGCTTTAGGATCTTGATAGGACATGAACATCAGCATTGGAGATTTAGGTTGTTAACAGATATTTAAATCTAAGTGTGTTGCTGATCATAAAAGTTTATATGTTCAGCATTTTCAATTTCATAGACAGCTAAATTGACATTACATTAAGAAATTTAAAGCCTGGGGTGCTTGGGTGGTTCAGTCGATTGACTGAAAGTCATCAGACTTTGACTCAGGTTGTGATCTCACAGTTCATGAGTTCAAGCCCCGTGTCTGGCTCTCTACTGTCCGTGCAGAGCCCACTTTGGATCCTCTGTCTCCCTTGCTGTCTGTACCGCCCCCCTCTTAAAAATAAACATTAAAGAAATTTTTTAAGCTTGATTTTTACTTTTTCTGGATGAGAAAGCCCTCAAAGGTGCTGAGTGCTATGCATACCTAAGCGTTATAGTAGTAAGATTCGAGAGTGATCAGGTTTTAGGAAGTTTACTATCCAGACTTAAAGAAAACTGCTAATAAGCTAGGATACCAGGGCATTAATTATTTTGAGTGATCTGTTTGGCATGATAACAAGTGCTGTTCACTTCTGTGATATATTCGTACTGCAGCACATGTGCCTGTTGATCTAAATGTAATAAATTTCTATGGGAAATTCATTTAATTTAGGTAGAGGCAACTGTAGGTTAGATAACAGCATTGCTAAGATAGGTTGTGTGTAATTTTTCACAAACTAACTCTAATTCTACCCCTTTTCTGCCACTGAATCCAACTCCAGCGTGTCTGAGTTATGAGGTTGCTAACCCATGATCTTGTGGGGAGACAAATCATAAATAGATAAATTGTAATTCTTTAAAGTCTTATAGTATGATAGGGATGAGTAAAATACACAGTGGAGGGAGTAAATAACTCCATGGGGAACCACACAACATTTCACAGGGAAATGGTATTTGCACTGAGTGTTGAAGGATAGGTAGGATGAAAGAGGGGCCGGTGAAAGCTTAGAAGAGGAAAGAACCAACACAATAACGATAAGGAGTTTTAAAGGACTAGTGTGTTTGAGAAACTGAAGATATGTGTTTAAAGCATAGAAATTATAGCATGTCAATTTGAGATAAGGATTGAAGAGGTAGATTAGGTCTATCAGATTGTGAACAGTCTTAAGGTACCAGTCAGGGTTCGGCAAGAGAGAAGAGATTTGTATGCCAGGAATCTTCTCTGTCACAGATTCACCTCCAGACCCTGCACCTAGTAAGTTTACTTACTGCATAAATGAAAAGTGATTCTGATGTGTAGCCAGTTTTGAGAACCCCTGGTGGTCTGGCGTCTGTTCTCCGGGGGGGGGGGACTGTTGAACACTTGTAATGTGACTAGTCTGAATTGAGCTGCAACGTCAGTGTCAAATACATATTGAA